AATCATCAAAAACCTCAATTTTTGATGATTTTTTAACATTATTTATCAAAATTTTGCTCAAACCCCTTTTTCATGATTTTTCAATACTCTAATTTTTGCTCAGACCCCCATTTTTACGATTTTTGAATTCTCAAAAATTTTGCTCAAACCCCCATTTTTACAAAAAAGCTTAGCGCATTTTTATGACACACTTGACCCAACCGTAACTAGGACTATATTATTATTTATTATAAATCTAATATAGTACTCCCTTACTGATCTAGTGCTCCCTTACCACTCTCCGAAATTCAGTTTTCTGACTTGGCCCCGACCATAATACTATCATTACCTAGGGATGGCTATTTTTTTTTAGTACAAACCAACCCTTGGGAACTGTGTGCCGCAACCCCAACCGAAATGAGTATAGGAGAGGTATATAAAGAACAATAGATAGTATAAAAAATTACATTAGATAAAACTATAAATAAAATTGTAAATAATAAAGAAAAAAGGAGGGATGACCAACCAAAACTCAGTAAAGAGAGAAAAAATAAGAACGTAAGAAAAAATTAAAAAAAAGGGGAAAACCTACCCAAACCCTGGCCTCTTAATAATTAATCACTTACATTTAAATATTATGGAATAACAATTTTAGAAAACCAAATATTAATCTATTTTAAGAAAAGAAGATTTATGATGAAGACAAAATGAAAAAAAATTTTTGAAATTGATTGTTATTATAATTGTAATGATGTTGAAAATCAAACTATCTTTTACTCTAAGTCTTTTAAAAAGTAACTTCCTTTTGATTTTAATAATGATGTTAAATCTCCATCATAATTTTCAAAATCTCCTTTGAAAATGTATGCTCCTTATGCTTAAAATAATGGTATTTGTGAAATTCGGAGAATTGTGATAGGGTTGGATACTAAAAAAATAAGAATAAAATATATACGCGATATGGTATTGTTCTAAATTAGTTGAGCTTTAAATTAATCAAGTAGATCTTTATAAGTTTTGTCAGCAGAGAAAATATTTTATTTATTGTTAACATCCCAGAAACGGATAGAGTGATCATTACTACCAGTAGCTAATGTATTTCCATCAGGGGAGAAACAGACAGAGTTGACAGAATCATCATGACCATCTAATTTGGCTTTTTATTATCCTGTTTTGGCATCCCAGAGAAAGATAGACTTATCATCACTACCAGAAGCTAATATATTTCCATCAGGGCAGAAACAGACTGATTAAAGAGATTTAGTATGACCATCTAATTTGGCTTTTTATTATCCTGTTTCGACATCCCATAGACAGATAGACTTATCACCACCACCAGAAGCTAATGTATTTCCATCAGGAGAAAAACAGACTGATCTCACAAAATCGCTATGACCATTCAATTAAGCTTTTTTATTACCTGTTGTTACATCCCATAGAAGAATAGACTAATCACCACTACCAGAAGCTAATATACTACCATCAGGAGAGAAACAGACTGAGTGGACAATGCTAGTATGGCCCTTCAATTTTGCTTTTAATTAGCCTGTTTTGACATCCCAAAGAAAGATAGACTTATCACCACCACCAGAAGCTAATGTATTCCCATCAGGAGAAAAACAGACTGATCTCACATAATAGCTATGACCATTCAATTAAGTTTTTAATTATCCTGTTTTTACATCCCATAGACAGATAGACTAATCACCACTACCAGAAGCTAATATACTACCATCAGGAGAGAAACAGACTGAGTTGATAATGCTAGTATGACCATTCAATTTTGCTTTTAATTAACCTGTTTTGACATCCCAAAGACGGATCGACATATCATTACTACCACAAGCTAATGTATATCCATCAGGATAGAAACTTACTGAGTTGATATTATTAGTATGACCATCCAATTTGGCCTTTTATTATCCTGTTTTTACATCCCATAAACGGATAGACTAATCACCACTACCAGATGTTAATGTATTTCCATCTATAGAAAAACAGATTGACTAGACCCAATTAGTATGACCATCCAATTTGGCTTTTTATTATCCTGTTTTGGCATCCCATAGACAGATGGACTTATCATCACTGGCAGAAGCTAAAGTATTGCCATCAGGAGAGAAACAGACTGATTAAAGAGATTTAGTATGACCTTCTAATTTGGCTTTTTATTATCCTGTTTTGACATCCCATAGACGGATAGAGTAATCAGCACTACCTGAAGCTAATGTATTTCCATCAGGAGAGAAACAGACTGATCTAACATAATCACCATGACCATTTAATTTGGCCTTTTATTATCGTGTTTTGACATCCCATAGACGGATAGACTTATCACCACTACCAGAAACGAATGTATTTCCATCAGGAGAGAAACAGACTGACAAGACAGTACTAGTATGACCATCTAATTTGGCTTTTTATTATCCTGTTTTGACATCCCATAGACTGATAGAGTAATCAGCACTACCTGAAGCTAATGTATTTCCATCAGGAGAGAAACAAACTGACCAAATTCTGTCATTATGACCGTACAATTTTGCTATTTATTTTCCTGTTTTTACATCCCAAAGACAGATAGACTAATCATAACTACAAGAAGCTAATTAATTTCCAAAATGGGAGTAACAGACTGAAGTGATAATTCCAGAATGACCATTTAATTTAGCTTTTTGCTCTCCTGTGTTAATATCCCATAAACGAATCGAGTTATCACCACTACCAGATGCTATTGTATTATCATCACAATAACAAACTGAATTCACACTACTACTAAGACCATCTAATTATTCTATATCTTTATATACTAAATTTTTCCATTTGCATTCAAATAATTGAGCTCCATTTAAATTTATTCCTGTAATATTCACATTGTAAAATTCAGATCTTGATAAATTGCATTTTGCAAAATTACCTCCAAATATTGAAGAATTTCGTATTATTATTTTTTCAAAATTTTAGTTTGTTAGATCCACTTTCATTTAAACCAAAATATTAAGAGAATTAGATCCACTTATTATCAAACCATCATCTAACTTTGTTAGAAGAACCATAAATTTCAAAAACTCAATAATCTTTTAGTTTCTAGATATTTTTTCAATAAGGTATTATCTAGTTTCTGCATAAATCTCGGTTGAATAATCCCTTTTGTTAAAATCATTCTTCCTTATGCTTTCTACCAAAAGAGTGATTGAATTTGTTGTATTTTATAAGTTCTCTAATATATTTGGTCTTTCATCTTGAAACTAAACTGAAAAATTATTAAAATGTTATTCACCAATACACTTTATAAAGCCTAAAAAATTCTAATTGGTATCATTTTGATTTTACAAAATTTTTATTATATTTTTCAAGATATCAAGATCGAGATCTTATGATTACTCAAAGACTTCATAACAATCAGCTGCAACTAAGAATTCTTAAATAGATTTATGCACAAATGAAAAGTTTGTACCTTTCTATGACACAAATGAGCAACTTCTTATATCTTTTTTATAACATCCATATTAATCATCATCATCAAAAAATTCCTTTAGCCACATTTCGTTTTCTTTTTCTTCTTTATACAATAGTCCTTATTATTGATAATAAACTTAAGTCATTTCTTTCATGCTCATTGTTCTTGCAAGGTTAGTTGAATATGTTTTTAAATCATGTAGAAAACGATCAACTATTATAGATTTTCCTAACTTTCTTTGCTTTTCTATTTACTTCATATGATATTAATTTATAAACTCCCTATAAAAATCATAACTTGTAAGATTTAATTCCTTGAATGATTCGATAGCTATCTCAATTATATCATTTGGAACGACAAATTCATATATTTATTTTTATAATAACACAAGGTTTTCTTTAAATATCTTCTATAGTTTGATTTTTAATTCTTCATTTTGTTCAGAAATCAACAACTAATTAAGAATTGAATTTTCCTCTATTTTATCCCAAACTTTTAAAGCAATTTCTTAATATTTTAGTTTTTCCAAATAGTTTGAAGTATCTACTTATGTTTAATATAAATTAATTTTCTAAGAGTTTTCACCTCCATTGTTTGATGTTACTAGTTTTTTCTATAAGCATTGATACATTTGAATCAAACATTTACTTTTGTAGAGCTCTTTAAGCTTATCCGGGAAATTATTTGTAAAGTTTTTTTTCATATTAGTTATTTCGGTAGCTTTAACTATCATTTCGGGCAACACTTAAACTACTATTTCCATCATATAGGGAGTTGCCAAATTATTTAAATTGATCTACCTCATTATTTTTTCATACTTTTGAACACTCCATAATTTTTTTAAATTTATAGACAGACTTCTTAAAGCATCTTGATTTTTTAAGGCTATATACTCACTATTCTTCAAAAACGATAAAATTAGGTTTATTTGTTTTTAATTCAATAGAGTTTCTCTATTTAAATCTGATTCTTTTATTTTCAGAAATTATTACTATAATTGTTCCCAAAAAATTTCAAGCTTATTAATTTCTACACCTCCTTTATTTTAAATTTGTGTTTACCATTCATATATTTCAAAAATCAACAATTTAACACTTTAAATAGTAAATTTTTCAAGATATTGTTTCATTTATGTTGAATCAAATTTTTGAAGCATGATTTCTTTTAAGTTATCGTTTTCTTCAGGTTCAAACCATTTAACATAATTACTACTTGTAAAAATTTCATTTCTTGTAGTAAAAATAACAAGTGGGTTTGACCAAATCTGTTTAAGTTTATTATTAATATATAAGTTTTTCTAAATATTCTCCAACTTCATCTCATCATAACTGTCCATTATCAATAAAAATCGGAATTCTTTCTTTTCTAACATCTCTTTACATTCTTTCAATTAAAGCTCATCAAAACCATACTCATCTTAATGGAGAGCCTCCTCCACTGCTTAAAACACAGGATTTTTTAAAGAGGGTAATGAAATATAAATAGGTATTATGATTTGATTACCTATTTTTTCATAATTGTCATGTAATTTCCAAATAAATTCTTCTATTTTCTTAGCTGCAGTACTTTTGCCTGATCCGGCTACCCCGTGAATTAATAATACTGTTTCTTTACCATCTAATAAAAACTCATTCACTTCTCCTTTTTTATCATATAAATTGTCAAAATTCATCAATATACTTGAATTTACTTCATTATTTTTTCCTTTCTCTGCATTTTGAATCATTTCATCATGCCCTTAATTATCTATTTCTTTATTTCCTTAATCATCATTTCTTATATCGTCTGTTTTTTCCTATCCTTTATCATCTTCTTCTTTATGTCTTTAATCATCTACTTCTTTGTTGTTAAATTCACGTTTCTTTTCAGGCTTCTCTGATTTATGAAATATCTCCAAAGTTTATACTGGCACATATATAGACTTAAGATTTTTATTGGCTGCTTCTTTTAATACTTTCGATTTTCTAATTTCAAAAAGTTCTTCAACTGATTTACCTCTTAGAAATTTAATGTCATTACCCATACTATTTAGTTGTTTCTTCATCTAATCTATTTTTCCTTCAACTCTTATCAAGCCTTTTCTGATATTGTTAACGAAGTCTGTTATTAATTTTAGTTATTATCCCATTTCACTGATGTTTTATATATATTCATCTAATTGCTCAGTTATATCATCCATTTCTCTCAATTAGAGCTCTCTTTTTTTTAGATTTGCCTCATGAGAAATTGATTCTTACAATTCATCAATCCTCTTCAACATTTTTTACATTTCTCCTGCAATTCTATCTTGTTAAGTCTACCAATCTTTCTACAAAATTTACATCTATAACCTCATTAAGTTTTAATTTTTTAGTAAATTTCTAACTCTTTAATCTTTTTCTGAAACCCATAATTAAATTAGAGCTTTTTAACAAAATCGAGTAATTTTTTCTGTGAAGCTGTTCAATGAAACCTAAATTATCGTTAAAACTAAACCCTATTTAATTTTCCATTCATCTTTTTATTATTAATCGATTATAGAGAATTAATTCTATTGATTTGATTGGACTTCATATTCCTCACTGGTTTATTGTAGGTATATTTTTTTAGTTAAATGAACGATATAATCTTGATCAAATTAAATTTCATAGAATTCCCACCTAGACGTTATTAACTTTTCTGTTGTTTCAGCCATTAACTTATAGAGAAAATCAACTAAATTTGTTGATTAACTATAGTTTTTTTCTCTTTAATTTTCGCCTTACAATATGACCTAAATTCGTGAAAAATATTCTTTAATTGATTCTGAGTCCTATTATTATAAATTAGCAGTTGTGAATTGCTTTTTCTTAAAGTAGCTTATAAATGTTTCAAAACCACTTGAAAAACTTTAATACATTTCCTCATAACACTCCTTTATAACATCAAGGCTTTTTGTAAAATTTTTAACATTTTCAAGGAATTAGGCCAACCTTTGCTTCTCTTGTCTGATTTTTATTAATAATGATTATAGAATACTAATAACGATTGATAAATTTATTTTTATTTTTTGTTGCCCATTTATTTGATTATTTAATTATTGGAGTTACCCAGTATTCTTATCATCTCTCTTATTCTTATCATCATATTTTGTTTTAAATTCATCAAATTTTTCTTTTAAATCATTTACTCTTTTAATGATTGGCTTATGAAAAATTGTTAGATCTTGATTAATGGAAGCTTTCAATAATTGAACAAGGATTTAAATCTGACTTATTAGCAATTTAAGAAATTCTACCTCTTGGCAATTGTCTTATTAGTTAATTTTTATTAATTATGACAATAAAACCTCATACTTTTCTCTCTCGATATTCAATTAATTTTGATTAAGATTTTTGTTATTGATAATTTTTAATGAAAAGTCTATTGAAAAGTCATTTATAATTTTGATAATTCTATTAGTAAGAGTTAAGAGATCAGATTCTTCTATAAATAATTCTCCAAATTCCTTTTCTATTAATTCTAAATCTATTCTTTCCATGTCAATCATTTGTTCTACTAGAGTTAATTTAAATATAAGATAATCTAAAATTCCTTTTTATTGTATTAAATTATTTTAATAGTGTTGTTCAGTAATTTATAAGTCACTTACTTCAGCAATAGTCTATTAATAAAATGAACTGTCACAACAAATCATTTGTTTAAGATACTTCTTGACTACATCAAGAAGAAACTTATCCAAATTTATAAACTTTTGTAACTATTAAAATTCTTCGAATGGTATTTTTAATATTTGTAAAAAACATTCTTTGTAAGCAATTAATTGTTATTTCAGCTTTAAAATGTTCAATCTTTATTTTTGTATAAATTAATATGAAGGCTTACAAAAATATTGTTATTTAATTTCTATTAATTTTTCAGGTAAAGAAACAGATTCTATTTCATATTGTAACATAATAACTGTCTTAAAACTTAAAAGTAATTCATTATAGTAGTTTTGAAGTTCTTAGATCTGTTTTTCATAATAAACATTTAGGTTATTCAATAAGCTTTAAAAATATTGAATTAATTTATCCTTTTTAAGTAACGAAGTTTCTTATTCTGAGACTTATTTTTCAGTTTGCTCAATAAGTTTTAACATGTATTAAGCTTCTTTCAAAAAACTTTATTTGTTTTATTTGTTTAGAGTTGCATTAGGGAAGGCAAGTAACCTTTACTTAAACTTATTGGCAAAAGAAAATTATTTATCTGCTAGCTTTAAATTTTATAATTCCTCCTTTATCAACTCTATCTCTTACTAAAACAATCCGCTTTCATCTGATTCATTTCTTTAATCATTAATATCTTTAATTGTTTTTGACAATATTGATTCTAATAGTCTCATAATATATCGAAGTTATTAAAAAATTTTGAATTCATTAATCTTTTCCTATTCATGTTTTTCCATCTAAAAATCTTATTTCCTTAAACTAAGCCTAATAATTTTAATGATTTTTAGAGTGTTTTGGAAATATTCTTTAAAATTGAGAATTATTTTTTTTAATTATTAATTATAAGTGGCTTATTCTATTGTGAAATTATAATGCTAATTTTTTTGTATAAAATATTTATAATTTTTAACAATGACTCCCAATATCTCATCATTTTTTTGAATTAAAGCTAGTAGTTTATTAGAGATGATGAAATCAAAAAATTATTAAATTTTGCAAACTGTTTAAATATATTCATTTTCTTAGTTTCCTATACTTTCTAATTGTAAATTTAAATAAGCACCAAATGTGAAATAGATATTATCTTTTTTTTCATTCATTAAGAAGTCTTTTAGCAACATGAAGTTTTCCCATTCTTTGAAAGTGTCCTCTAATATTAATTTATCAATTTATGTTAATTCTTTATTATTAAATTCATTAAGTAAAATTACAGCTTAGTCATTGCTATGATTTATTTAAATCAGAAACCCTTTGTTCAGATATTCCTTCCATTTGGTTTCAAGATTGAAAGAGCTAGTCAGCTTTAATTTTTTATTGGTTATCAGAGGATTATATATTAAAATTTTTCCAATCATTTAGATCCACAAAAAATGATTTTTCCAATTAATTGAATTTTTCACAAGTTTTTCATGTGTATTCTCAATTTGTATAATTATTTCTTCCAAATTCTGTTAGCTGTCATTTTTAAAATTATTTATGATCTCCCATTGCAACATATCAATTTAAAAATAAACTTCATATTATTTTCTATTTTTTTAAATTGTATACTTATTGTAAAGTAGGCATGCTCCTTTATACAATTACATAAACAATTCAGTATTAGGTTTCATATCAAATATTGAGTTAAAGATACCATCTAAACAACCGTTTACGATATCATCTCTATCTTTACCATCATTTGGGGCCATCTGAAAAGAAGTTTTTGTTAGGAAAAGGTAAAGTTCCAATTAATTTTGAATTAAATCATTTTTCTCTATTTCAATTTATTATCTTAATTCATCACAAATATCCACAAATTGCTTTTATGTGTCACAGTTCATAAATCTCTAATCCTTTCTTATATGGAAGCTAAATATCACTTTAGATAGAGAAGCTGTAGTCCTTAAGATGAATAAGCATTTAAATTAATCCGTTCTGACGTAAATCAAACAACTTTTCAATAATTTTAGGATTCCATCTATAATTAAGTTGTATGATTTCATGACCTTTTAAGCATTCTTGATGAGCTTGTAAATGTTTTCCTCTTAAAACATAAACCATTAGATGGCTATCATTATTTCTTAAGCTTCTAATTAATTAGCAGCAACAGCTGCTTTAGTGTATATAGTTTAGACAAAAGAATCAAATCTTGTAATGAAATTTTCTATGTCTTAAATATCAGACATTATGACGATATCTGTGTTGGGAATCGTTTTGTTAGATCCACAACCACAACCACCTCCACGTAGTGTAAATGCTAATTTATTCAATAGGCTTGGCATTTTAAGTAAATTTAAATAATAAATCAACACCGGTATAAAATGTTTATAAACTTAGTATTATGGGAATTAAAATAATTTTTTTATTATTAATAATAAAAAATTTCATTAAATAACAGATAAATAATTAATTAACTTATTTTTATTATTTTCTCAGACTTATCTCCTACTTATTTTAGCGATTCAAATTTATTTATTAAAATTATTTGAATTATAAATACTATTAAAATCTGAGAATTACTCCATAAGTTTTTCTATATGAGAGACAATTAAGGTAAATGTAATTAATCTATGGTGAATGCCTATTAATGATCAAAATTTTACTTAATAAATACGAATTATGAATGCAACTTAATAATATTTAATCACGTTTTTTTAGAAAATAAAACGGTTTAGAATTTATTCATCAAAATATATAGAAAGTAGCTCTTAAAGATATTATTAACATTATTTAACTTTGAGTTTGGCGATTAAATTTATATTTATAAATATTTCTCTTTCATCACAACTTAATAATGTATATTTTAATTTTTTTTTGAAAATATTCAGGGAAAAAGCTAACAACCTTATATGTTTAAACCATTTGTTTTCGGAAGTTTCGTTCCTATTGTTTAAAATGATTGCATTTTTGAAATATTAAATTGCATCGCCTATTTAATATTTTACATATAAAAATGCCTTTATATTTAAATGGTTTATCGTAGGTAGATTTAGATGGCTCTTAGTACCTTTGCAAATTACATAAAAATAAAGAAATTTAATTAGATAAATAAGGCAAACCCTATTGATACCAGAATATGCTTTCTCATTATTTGGATTGTATGCCATATTTATAAAAGTAAGAGAATCATAAGAATTGAAATTCTACATGCTTTTTATTTTAATACTACTCTTGTCTATAATTTTAATGTTGTTATTTAGCAAGATTGTAAAATAAAGAAAAGTTCCTATAAAAATATGTCAAATACTAATGAATCTTTCAAAAACAACGGATCCTTTCCATAGATTTTTATCTAAAAGCTTAAATTAAATCTAATACAATTTTTTTTAAGTCATAAAAATTAACAAAAAATTTCTATTTTTTATAAATGAAAAAATTTGAAATTTTTTATACTACTACATCAAATATATCAAATATGGAAAGTTGATTTTGTTTAATTGTCTGAAATCTAATCCAAAGGTTGTGATCTCTTTAAAATAACTTGTTCTTAATTCAACTTATTTATTATATTTTGCAAAATCACTTATATAAAAAAAATTAATTGATTTTTCTTTTGTTTTTTATCAAGAAGTTTATTAAAATTTCATAATTGATTATTTATTAATTTTAATTAAAAAAATGAGATTGAATTGCTATATCATAGTAAATATTGATATTTTTTAAATGAGTATGTTGCTATAGGTACTTGTCTCTTTTTTATTTAAATAAAATATATAAATATTGATCTGAAATAAAAAATAAAAGATATAATATCATATTAAGATTTAGCTTTCAGCATTCAAGATGTTAAAACCAATTAAGAAAAAGATAGAAATATTATTCATTTTTTTTATAATCAAATACTATAAATTCTTATTAATGATTAGTATAGTATCCTTTTTATTATTCAAATTATCGTTTCTATTTCGTTTGCAAGTAATTATCATAATTAGCAATGGTCTATAAATTATTTAAAAAAATTCAAATGGAGATTGTAAAGGTTCGAACTTGACCAGGTAAATCAAATACATAAACGATAACATTGAAAGTAAAATTGATTACGCTTCTGGATAGTTAATGAATTGTACTAGAATTACAATATAAAACAATATTCTATAAATAAAAAGAACATACATTAAGCAAACAAAAATCAAAATTAGCTTTTGGATTCGTAATAAAAGTATTTCCATTTCCTGAAATCTTGTATTTGTGCAGGAGTAACTGTAAAAACTATAAATAATATAAAAGTAACCATCACAATAAATTGTAATCAACATATAGCTTTAAAACTGTTTAAGATTTCAAATTTATTATAAAATTTACTATTAGGAATTGCAATAATGTACTGAACAGAAGCTAATGTATAATCGCTTAGTAAGCTTGAAAATTTCCTAAATAGAAATATTTAATTTTTATTTTTATCACTTTTTCAAAATTTTTTCTTAAAAAAAAATCTATAAGTTATAAACATCATTCATATTACGATTAGAAAGTTTAAGAACAAAATTAAAAAACTTTCAGACTTTATGAGAGAATAAAGTATATAAATTTTAAATGATGCACTCATTTTTAAGCATTTTACATTTTTCGAGACTTTTTTATTTGATTTATTGTGGATTTGATTCGAAAAAGTACCACCACCTGATAGCAAACTTGATATATTTACCATAGAATACATCATAACATCATTAATTAATACGATTAAAGATAATTATTATTTTTCGTCTCAGGTAATACAAAAGGAGTTCCAAGAATAATCTTCTTTTAGTTTATCTATTAATCTTAATGAATTATGGATTATGGACTTATTTGTATCAACTTATAATTTAGGCACTTAAATAGGTGTATAAACTCGATTTAAATTTAAAATATAGGAAAGCCCAAGTAAATTAGTTTATTATCAATTCTATTGATTAGTTCTGTTTATATTTTACATATTAAGCAAAAGTTATTTCTCATAATTATATTGAACTAGCTTTATCAGATAAACTATTGATGAGCCTCAATATATGCTTGTAATCTTAATGACTCTTCCTCAGTTATAAATTGATATGAATCCTCCATATTAAAAAATGAAGAAAATCCATCTCCTTCAAAAATATTTCCATCATCACACTCATCATATTTATTGACTAGAAGTCCATTTCCACATTCATTCATAAATTAATTAACGATTGATTTTCTCCTCATCTTAGTCAGTATATTACTGAAAATCTGTAATTGGATAATAAATTTTTTAATCATTTTAATCAGAGTTTATTTATAAAAATTTTTAAGTTTACTTATCCGAAATATAAAATTTATCATCACACATAAATTTTATTAACATTCAACATAAACCTTAAGAAAATTAAAATTCAAAATTATAGCATCCATCATATTGGTTATCTTAATACTATCTCCACATATTGGTTCACATAAATTATTATTTATTTGAAATTACTCATTACAGGCTAAACAGTAATTCTCAATACCACCAAAATTGCAATCTGGAATACAATCAAGAGTTGCTTAATCATTATCTCATTTGGCTAACATATTTCTATAAATTATCCAGATTAGCATAAAATATATGCAAATTCACAAGATTAGGTTCATTTATGGCATCCATCACAAGGCATTATATTTCCATTATCACACAAATCAAGTTCAACTATTTTTAAATCTCCACTAATTGGTTAACATACTTAATTATGTAATAAATATTTCATTCAATAAACTTCACATATCCCCTTAGTGCAAATCAGACAGTCATATCCAAAATATTAACATAGTTAAAAATTATGATGACACTTAAACTACCAATCCTCAAAAATTTATAAATAATATATTATCTAATTTTCTCACTATTCATTTCCTACAATCTCAAGAATTGCACAAATCTAAAGGATATAAAATTGAATCATCACATTATTCGTATCCTTTAGCAACTATTCCATTTACACATAAGAATTCTCATTTAGTACCTGTTGAATACCAAGCATTTATTTCATCATATTTATAACAAATCCCTTAACTACAATGGATAAAATGATTTTAACATTAGAATTAAAAAAGATGACATCCATTAAAATTTTTCATCATTATCATCATCGCCTTATTCATTTTTAATTACTACTAAATCACCCAAAATTGATCTGCATGTGTGAATTGCTCCAATTAATTAATAATAAATCTTTGCATTGATAATATTTACCTTTGAAAAGAAATTTAACATTCATCTTAACATGTAAATTAACATTAAGGACATCCATCTTATCATCATCACAATCTTCTTCATCAACTATTATTTAATCTACAATAGATTAGTAGACATGATAGATTTATATGATCATCTTAATAACCAGGCTAAAATAAGAATTAATTTCTTTAGCTCTTAAACTTTGTGTCATCAAAATTTCAATTTAATTCTATAAGGGTTCCTTAGTTTTTATTGAAAGTTAAGCTTAGATAAAATCAAAATTTACTTTTGGTTCTAATAGATATTATCTTTGACCAAATTCATAAGAAAGTTTACAACTTCTAGGTGTCATTTTATAAGTTAATAATGAAAGTGTAAAAATGTTAATTCTCCCCATCATCATAGTTTAATAATCCTTTGCTGACATGACCCATTTAATTATCCGCTGATCATCATTCAGTATTAGAATAAAATTTTGTCAAAAACAAGCAGACACCCATATATCATACTTCTTTTCTCCTTCCAATATTTATATTTCTATTAAATGAGTTATTCAGCATTTTTAAGTTTTGTTAGGGAAACTTATATCCCAATTAGTATAACTGAAAAAAATCAAAAATAAATAAAACAGGCTCTTATGACAAACTAATGAAAGGAGATGATGAAAAATATTATTTATAATATTATAAATGTATAGAAATAATGATTTAAAGATAAGGTTATAAATCAAAAAATTTTTATAATTAAAAAAATAATCTATTCTTTTAGAATTATAAAACTTTAAAATATTTATTTAGAACACTTTAATAAAGTGAAAGCTGTTTATTTTGACATCAAATTTGTTTTTAATATATTTTTCTAATTGTTCCAATAATTCTAGATATCTTTAGAGCTTCTCTAATATTACTTTACTTTTCTAAGATATTCACTAAATAGAAAAAGAATATTTGATACTTTTCCAATTTTATATTTCTATTTAATTATCTAATTACAAATTGATTACAAGATTACAATTTTGAATAGCCTCTGGATATCTATTTTAATCGTTTAAAGCTTTAACTAAAAATAGTTCCATCTAAAATACTTTTTTCAAGATAAAATTCTTGTACTTTTTCATTTTTTTTAATAGCTTCATCCCATGATTCAATAACTTATTCAAATAACCCTTATTTAAATAATGCTTAGGCTAAATTCAAAATAATATATTAACCTTTGAATTTATAGATATACATATCATTTTTATGTATGAATTCATTACATAATTTAATGAGTTAATCTTATTCATTTAATTCCGATAGAGCTTAAACTATTAAATAATATAATCATTTATTACTTTATATCTTGACTAAAAAAAAATAGTTATTTAACTTTTATTTATCACAGTTGCAAAATTATATTACTTCCTTCCATTTTTATTATTTAGTTAAAGCAATAGCTTAAATTATTAATAATTTTCGTACCTTTTTCCTCATAAATACCAGGGTGTACCATTATTGAAATAGCTTGATCATAATTATCTATTATTTCTTGATCTTTTCCCATTTTTTCTAAAATTTCTCCTAATCATATACATTTAAAAATTACCTTTTTTTCGATATAAAAGCAATTGATATTTATTATATTTGAGCCCTAAATTTAAACATTCCAATATTTCTTAATATTCTTCTAATTATTCTAAAGCATACACTAAAGATATCTAAAATGAGATTTACCTTTTTCTAAATAGAACGAGTAATCATTTTTATTATAGGTGATTCCTTAACCCCAACAGTCTGCAACTTCTCTCCATGCTTCATTATTTATAATTCCATTATTTAGAGTATAAAAGTTTTTAATAGAGTTAGCTTTGAATATGGATGATTTAGAAATTTACCTTTCTAAATGTAATATATTTTAAACTCTTTATTATTTTAAATTCCTTAATCCCAACATTCAATTATTTCTTTAAATTTATTTTATTCAAATAATTCACGACCTAATGAATATTAATCTTAGTCTGATACATTTTAAAAAATAAAATGAAACATCTTTAGCATTTTTTGTTATACCAAAATCATATAATTCAATAATCTCATTCCATTTGCCCTAATTCCTTAGTACTTAAGCTAATATATTGTAAAATAAGGAATGCCTTTTTCTTGATAAAAATTGATATCATGAATGTTATTTTAAATGCCCTATTCCCAAGTATGTAAAACTTCCTATAATTTTCCCAATTAAGATAAAAGATTAGCTATTTAAATTTAACAAAATCTACCCTTTTTTCTATATAAAAGGATATTGTTGTTATTATTCTCAATATTTTTGTTTACTTACTCAAAAGTTTCATCTTATTTACCTTCTAAATTTAGCTCACGTACTATTTTTAATTATAATAATTTACATTTGGACTAAATGTAATGAGAAGTCGAATTTTAATTCATTATTAGAAAATATTTTAATATCAGGCTATTTTTATATATGTATAGGATTGGAGTTATAATTATAATTATGTGATTCAGGAAGTTAAAAACATTTAGAAAGAATTCTAAATACCAATTTCAGTTTAATGGAAAAATTTATTTATTTAAATATCCAAAATCTTTGATTTTAGATCCAACAATACTCCAATGTTGTAAAACGTTCTACTAATTAACAATAAGAAAATTAATAAAGATTTGAATGAGATTATGTTTAAGGAATTACTGCTCAATAAATTAAAAACAATATTTTTAGTTTAATGTCAAAAATTGTCATTCGATAATATTCGTTCAATTAAATATTATATAAACCAATAAATTAAAAAATAATATTAACTTAATTTCTGAGATATTTTTAAAAATCATTTGATCTAAAATTATGTATTTATCTACTATTTTAACAGAAATCGCATTCAAATGTAATTTTAAAATTTGATAAAAGATTATACATTAAATTAGTAATTTAATAATATAAATGATTATATTTCATTTATTATTTTTAATAATCTATGAAGAGTACTACTTTAATAGGATTCTATTAATTCAAGATTAAAGATAAAATAATTAATTATATATGATACACAATTTATTTAATTGAATAATAATCATTACTTTCAATTTGATGGTTATGGACCATCTTTATTCTCAAAATACATGTAATCAAAAAAAATGGTGGCAGCTAGAATTAAAGCTTTATCTTCTTTTGATGCATTCTAAGGAAATACGACACTAATATTATCAGTGAAGTCAGCCCAATTTTAACAACAACCTTTGGCCTCCTTTTTCATAGGAGCAACAACCTTGATAACTAGTTTAATTATATACTTCCCCATTTGAAGTTTTGATATCAAAATCAACTTTGTTGCATTAATCACTACATGGACATCTACACCAAAAATAGCATTAGCAACAACTACCTTCTATAATGTATTTCAATTTATCTTCAGAATCATAAATATGACAACCAAGTGTACAACAATACTAAGGGTTAATAATATAACCTAAACTCTTATTTTAACCATTTTCAACATATTATACATCTAATCGTGGCCTAAATTACATAATTAAATATAATAACCTATTCAAACAACAGCAAGTACATGCATACTATCTATCAAATCTAAATACAATTCGATCAGAGTTTTCTTAAAATAATTAATCCATATTAGGCTAAAAGTCTTTACACCCATAATTACTAACAAACATCTCAAATGGTCGATAAGGTGGACTAAATTTTACTATAAGAGTTACCCTAATGTCAATCTTGCACAAGCTGAAGATTTTTCTTTACATTTGAATAATTCTTTTTGTTCAATCTACTATCCTTAATCATTCGCTGCATATACTTTAAATACATTTGGAGTCTAAAATCCTAGTAAATATTTTAAATTAAGTAGTTCTACCCATCATCACTTAGAAAAATTCAAATCTCTACTAAACGAAGATTCCCACTTATGTCCCTAATATATCTAAGCAGGTTGTTTGATTAGGACTTTATATATAATCAGCCATTTAGTAAAAATTATTTTATCCTATGCTATCATCAGTATTTAGTGGTGACTACATCAAGAAATATATTAGATATTTTAATATTATATAGCAATCAAACACGGCTTTAATATTAAAAAGAATGACTCATAAAATTCTATATTTTGAGATAACTTACATAAAAACCTTTAATAAGATATTTTAGATTAAAATTTCTTATTAAAATTAATATCAATTACTAAAGTTAACTATTGGTTGTTGAATACTTTTTTTTTGAAATCAATATACACTGATTGAGACAATTTTAATAATAAATTTAATAATATTCCATATATTTTTTTATAAATTTATAACAATTTTATTAATCACAGTTTGATAAGGATTTATACTTCTAAAAGTAATATCATAATTAACCAAAATTAATCCCAATATAATAAGTTCTAATTTAGTATATGTCATTATTTATCAGATCTTATAGTATATATATCATTACTTATTTTGATATGAATATTTTACTACAATATATATTTTTAATATGATTAATTATATTATCTTACTCTTAATGGTTTATGAATAATTTAACTTTCCTTAATCTTTTCTATTAATTTTTAAAATATATCTTATAATAAATGTGTTTTTTTTATATTTGATCAAATTTTTTATTTGAATTATTTATGTTGAGTTCTATTTGCAATTTTCAGTAATTTAATAAAGCAGAATATTTTATCAACAATTCCGTAATTAATAATAAAAACAATATATATTATGAATATTTCATTCATTCTGTTGAATTCTTTTCTATAACTTTAAAAAATACTAGTTTATAAAGCAGATATAGACTAAATTACATAGCTAATACAATTCCAATAATAATATATCTTTTGGATTATTCCAAATCACCTAAAATTCTAATTTAATTTATTTTTATACTTTCTCATTCCCATTATTAAGAAACTTGATGAGCTGATCATACCATAGCCAACTAAGCACCATTAAAGAATAGAATTTCGAATTACACATAAAATAGTGATAGGCATTAAAATTGACATGGAATAGCCATAAAGACACAGTGTATGAAAGAATCTGATATCACTACCTAGAATCTTCATTACAAGTGTAAGAATGACTGGAGTTCCAAAACTTATGCAATACAAAAGTGCTGCTGATTATGGAACATAAGCTACGGAATATGTTGTTTATCCTTCTAAATTCATTTAGTTGATATTTGCGACAGCTGTAATGAGGAAGATAATTGTTGCACTAATCCATAATGGACCCCATCTAGATATATAATATTGCATTTACAGATCAGGATTTCCTGCAACACGTTCATGAAAGTCTTTCCTAAATGGGAGAAATGAAGCTTTAACTCTATCAATCACATCATCTTCAGAGACATTAAAGTATGGTTAATAATATTTGATTGTTAAAAATGCACAACATCCTTTTTATTCTGGATGTTCTTCTTCTTCTTCTTCTTAAAAGAAATCCATTTTATAAAATTAAATATATGATTAAAGTAAAGAGTTCAGGTTAAAAAGAAGTTGATGCAGCTAAATACTTCCTTGAAGCTATTTTATAATTAAGAGATCGTTTCAATGAATCTAAATCAATCAGTATTGAAGCTCAAGGTGAAGACATATGTGTGGCAACTTGTGTTTTAGAATTATTAAAGAATTAATTTCCTAATAATAAAAATTCAATAATAACAAGTGGTAGTATCAAAGACATATAAGATTGTGAAGAAAGTGGTTTAACAATTAGTTTTTAAGTATTGGATTTTGGAAATGATATATATAATCCAATAATTTATGTTGAAAAGTATTTGCAGTAATTAATTGAATATGAAAAATTATAAAAAAAAAATAACAAAGAGAAAAGAGAGTCAAAGTAAAATAAATAATAGTAATAATAATTATAATCATAATAATCATAATAATAATAATCATAATAATAATAATCATAATAAAAAGATTTCCAAATAGAATAAATTAAATAAGTGGATTCATAATAAAATAAATAAGATGAAGTTTATAACAAATGGAGTAAAACAAAGAAGAGAATACCTAAAAATTATGTTGGGAATGATGAAGAACTAATGACAGAAGGATTACATGGATTTGCTGATGCTTTTGATTTAAAATCTGGAGGAAATAGAAATGAATAGAAAAATTAAAAAAAAAAAAACAGATAAAAATAAGATGAGCTTGATTTGTAAGAATCAAATTTTATAAGAGGAAATATAAAATACAGAGGAGGATTTAAAAATTGATTAATAATTTATAATCGTATAAATATAATAAAGTTTAAAACTCACCAAAAGTTATCAATTATAATCATTATTAATTACAATTTCATTAGACATAATATGTGTTTATTAATCTTCCCACATAAATTCTAATTGAATTAAATAATTAACTTTGTAAAGTTTTCCTGGATATGAACATGCATCCTTAAAAGATTAGGTTATAACTATATCTATATCTAGAGTTCTTTTTTCACTGTGCATATTATCCAATCTTTACTAAATCATTGTTTGTGGAGGTAACTAATAATCATTAGCAAATCTTACTCGTTTATATTTGGTGTCATTTTTTATGAGTAAATCAATGATTTATAAAATAGTAATCTGATTCTTCACTAAGCTATATTGAGATTTTGTATTATCAATTTGTAATATCCCTTTTAAATGTTCACCTATCCTATATACATCCTTATCCAAACTATATTTATAACTAAATCTATACTTGAACTAAATTATTGGAGCAAAACCAGCAAATTTTGGTTCATAATTGAGAGATATCGGTTTAGTATCATATCTATCCTTTTTTGTTTTAACAACATGAATTTACCTAGTATTAGGTACAACACTGCTACTCAATGAAGAAGCTGAAGAACTTTTCTATCATTATAATCTTTAATTACAGCTAAGAAACATTCTAAATAGATTATTGTGGAGAGAGTTTAATCAGCAATTATTGAATAATAATTCTAATAAATAGGTTACCATTAAATATGTTGATCAAAAGGGATATGAAGTTGAGCTTCTCCATTTAGTTTTCGTCGCATAAAGTTGACATCTAAGAATTAATTAGAAATAGTGAATCCTTTTGTAGTAATTTGCTCAATCCCAATCAGATTGACATTTATGTAATGAGAGTTATCCAATGATGGATTGCTAATTAAGATTGAACCACTATAATGACCATGTTAGTAATCAGCGTTGGTCACTTAGAAATTGATTTCTCCTTAAAATTGAGTAATTGAGTGGCATAAACCCATTATATAATATTTATTAATTTAATTACAAAATAGATTATTTAAAAGAAAACTTTTTAGAATAAATTATTATCTCAAGTTCCAAATTTTTACGTCATAGAACTATAATATTAAAATTACAATCATGATAAACAGTAAAATCAAGATATTCAATGATGACTCACTTCTATTCAGTAGTTACCAATACTATACGGTTCCATTTTTATATACAATGGCTATGATATTGATTTCCTACTTTGAAAATGCTTGGATAGCTATTTGGATTGTTTATACTCTAATTCCTTTTTTGGACGAATTTTTCTCTTTAGATCTTCGTAATCCAACCAAGGATGAATAGATGTAAATAACCCAATAGATTATTATTAGGAAACTAGAGTCAGAGATGAAATTTAAGCTTCCATTATATGTGTGCGTCATCTTTGATTGGATTAGTCTGGTTTGGATGATCAATTTCCTTTTAAACAATGAGATCTAGTTATTCAATAAACTAGGTATAATCTTTTTGTGTGGTAATTTGGCTGCCTCTAATATCAATATTGCTCATGAATTGTTTCATAAGGATAATTTGCTTGACAAGTTATTGGGAACTGTTACATTAGCTAGAAACCTGTACACACACTTTGCAATTGAACATCTTCATGGTCATCATAGACATGTTGCTACTCCTAAAGATCCAGCATCCTCATTGAAAGGATAAAAAATATGGCACTTTTTACCATAAACCATAATCGGTTCATATCTATCAGCTTGGAATTATGAAGCTGATCTTATGTAAAAGAAATATGGATCAGTTATTAGAATCTAAAATAGAATGATATGGTAATAATTAATTATATCATAGGTATACAATTTCTTATTTTATTATTCCATGTATTTTTTATTATTACTTTGGTTTCTTAGGATGTGCCTATTTCTTAGGTACTGTTATTAATAGTGTTGTGTATTTAGAGACCATTAATTATATCGAACATTATGGTTTAAGTAGAAAAGAAATAGAACCAGGAAAATATGAGAAAGTAGATATTAGACACAGTTGGAATGCTCCTCATAGATTATCCAATTATCTTCTCTTTAAATTGTAAAGACATTCAGATCATCATGAAAATCCATACAAATCATATTAAACACTTTGTTCTTATGATGAAAGTCCCTAATTGCCACATGGATATACTGTTTGTATATTATTGGCATGGGTTCCAAACTTATGGTTTGAAATTATGGATTTGTAATTAAAGAATTGGGAATAACATAAAAAGAATGTCACCTCTGAATAAGTACATTAAAAAATGCTTAATTTCATTTTCAAGATCGGAATTGTCACCACAACATTGGCAACTGCTTCAATTGCATTATGAATTATTATTATGATAATATTTCTAATTACAAGTGCTTTGGCATCACACATCTATCCCATCACATAAAACCCAAAAACCTTTGCTTTTCAATTAGCCTATCAATAAGGGTCATTGACACTTGATTTAAATTCTTAATTGACCTTTATGAAACTTAGAGGATAGGAAGTCAAATGTAATTCATCTCCATTTGGAGATGAGGTTGAATGTTCTTCATGCACTCCCAATTGTGTCATAGGAGATGGTAATTTAATGCAAAATGATATCATCTTGAACAATGTGTTACAAGAAGAACAAATAGAACAGATGTTATACGTTTCTACGGATCAAGAGGAAATATTAGGTTTAGGACAATAAAGAGGATGTAATTTATGATTTTTATAGTTGTAGCAACTAAATATCCATAGAATCCTTTTATTTCCAATATTTTTCATATATGCCTTGGTTTTAATAAAGGATTTATTTCAAAAGAGTTTAAGAATCCATACAAGTATCAAATAAATTACAAATCAAATTCTTCCTCTAAATATTAAGTAGATCTTAAACTAATTAAAATACAAAATTAAACAATTGTTAATCTAACAGGCAAGGTTACATTTATTGATAGTAGAGATCCATATATTTTATTACCTGAAGAAAATTATCAAAAGATTTTAACATATTTCTCCAAATTTTAAGTTGTAGAAGAATCCTATAATCTTATTGTGAAGAATCAATCTCTAAAATTACCAGATATTGAATTTATATTTGATGATGATGAAAAAATTATTATGGAATCAGAATCATATATCTTAAAACTTTAAAATGATACTCAAATATTAAGATTTAATAGATCTAAATTAAATCGTATTGAGTTAGGATTACCATTCTTAGCATAAAAACTTATGACAATTGATTAAAATACTTAGAAATTCTATTTTTCTGATTTTAATTGTTAAGATCAATTTGAATAGATACAATTAGAGGTTGATTACTTTAAATAAATACTACTTCCAACATTATTGATATGTCTTGTATTTTATTGTATTTTAACTCAAAAAGCAAAAAAATAAAAATAGTCAAGAGCAAATGAAAGTTATGAATTGACTAAATTAAAATAAGAAATTGATGAAGAAGAAGAAATTTGAATTAACCACTCATTATATTTTTTAAACCTTAAATATATTGTTATTTCTATTTATACTTCAAATAAGTCATATATTTTATGCTGATGTTATAAATAATATAAAAAGACATAAAAATTAATTATTAATTGATTTATATATTACATTTAAATTTTAATGATTTTAAATATATTATTTTTTATTGAAATCTGAATAATGAAAATTATTTTTACATTTCTATAAAAACACTCTTGAAATATAAAAGAAGATATTGTATAAATATATATTCTCCATCATAGACTTTCAATTTTGTTTATTTTAAATTTTATAGAAATATCATAGTCTTACTATTAAAAATATTAATTTTATATATATAATTATGATTTATATGAAAATCCTCATAATTTTGACAAGTTTTGTCTCTGGCTTAATATTCTATGATACCAACGTATTCAAAGGTTTCGATGATTATTTTGATACTACTTTTATTTGCTAATCTAATTCAATAACTAGTTCAATATTCTTTTCAGATTCCTTTCCTAATATTCCAAAAGTAATTATAACCCTAGAAAAAGTTGATATGTGGTATACAAATGCATAATTTTTTTTAGAAGTCACAAATATACAACTTACATGTAAATATAAATAATTTCATAAATTTAGATTTTGATCTAACAATTTCATGTTCAAATAACAGAGTATATGCTGTAAGAGTTAAATGGTATGCTATTTGGGGAAATAGTTATCAAGTGATAAATTATATCAGTACATCTTCAATTGTAAATATGACTTTTCCACATACATTGAGTAATGCAAAAAATGGATTTGTAAGTTTAACTGGTTTTTCATACACCGGCAATTTTGATTTCTTACTTAAAGTAAATAAATTCCTATGATAATATTTTCAGATTAGTGAATTGATAAGTTCGTCGGTTTCTGTTGAAATCAATTCAGAAGATTTTACATTCTTAAATCTAAATAAAATTGGTTATTAAGTTGTCATAACTGAAGATGATATAATTAATCTAGGATTATAAAGTTCTCTTGGGTAATATACTAGTTAGCCAATCTACATATTATCTGAATCAAGGTTCGTTTTTAATCTTTAAGGTCTTAAATATTATACCTCAGATAACATAAGGCTAAACCTAACATATACTAATGATTCTAATTCTAATACCTTAAGTTATTAATTTGGCACATGTATTTATTTTTTTTTATTTTAGGGGATGGGGCAGATACTGGAAGTTATCATACTTAACTTTTGTTACACTATTAATGTAAGTACTTTAGTTGCATTAAGATAAAAACTTAAAGAAGATTAGTATCAAATATAAATGATTTACCAGATAAGATAATTAATTTCATTAATTTGAATCACTAATATAATAATATCGGATAATTTGAACTTATAGTGAATTAAAGGCTACCCTATATGTAAATAGAGGTTTCTGTAAAATGCTTTATAGGAAAAGTAATTCAAAGTTCAATTCATTAAAAGAATAACTGTGATCCCTCATAAATGCAAGTTATTAAATATAAATGTTTAAAAAATTACAATTTCATAATTTTCAATTTAGGATTCACTTCTTTTAGCTCTGCATCCTATAAATTTAAGATTATAATTACAACTTAGAGTATTGAATTAATTCAAGTACTATAGAATTAAGTAGAATTAGAGTAGCAACTTATGAAGATCGAATAGTTAGAATTGTGACTTAATCAATTAAACATTACATATCATTTAAATTTAATAAAATATAAACTAAACAAGTGTATATATTAATCTCAATTAAAATACTATCAAATAATTTATTCGATTAAATAATATTTTGTTTAATTAACTATGTAGTATTTTATTCTAAATTTAATTTATTGCATAGTTAGGTAAAATTATTAACATTTTATTATATTCCCACTAAAAATAAAATAAATTAGTATCTCTTGAAAAAATTACAGAAGACAAAATATTATATGTGTATTATTTTGTTAGTCAAAGAAAATAGAAATTTGGTTTATTTTAACAAAAAATGATTAGAAATACTGAGAATATTTAAATGTTTTAAAAAGAATAGTGTTTTTTGTAATTGTATCACAAATTAGATTTTGAAAAAAGTTTCATATATAAATTTATAATTTGATTATACATAAAGCTCTTTATTGTGTTTCAGGATAAAAATATTTGATGATTACTTCTATTTTACTTTCTAAATTTCAGCAACTTGGTTTTGCCAGCAGTTATGGCATTTTTTGCTAATCTTAAAAGCGGAAATGCAATTATTGTTGACAGAAAAGCCATGTGAATCCATCCTATTTGAATTTTATTTCTGGATGAAAAAATAAAAGAAAAATCATTTGTATATGCTAAACAACTTATGATAAAAAATAGTATTGACCCTTCTTGAAAAATTAATGTAATGAACATTTATAGCCCAAGCATCTTTTTTACATTTATAATTAATATTGTCGATGCTAAACTACTGGCAAACAATAACACCAATTAAACAACTTCAGACTGATAAAAAAAAATTAAAACAAATAAAAAAAACATTTATTTTAATAAATTTAAAGCCTAATATCTTTATTGAATTAATTGTTTCTTTTGATTAACCTTTAAAGTATTTAAGGTTTTTATTTCATGAATTACTATAAATCCATAAGAGACTATAATTAATATGGAAAGGATTATTGAAATTAAATTTCTGGGTTAATAATTTTCAAATGATTTTAAATAGAGAAAACTTTTAAAATTTAAATCCCATCCATTAATGATCATTATTTTAATTAAATTTCTTTTTGTAAGATATTTTTCATTTTGTATCAATTTTCTTATTGCATTTTAGAAAGCTTTTATTAACCCCAGAAAAAATTTATTTTTTAATTTAGAATACAATTTTTTTATAAGTAGAAACATTCTTTGATCCATGAAAAATTTGTAAACCAATTTATTTATAATCCTTCTAAATAGAAAAAGCAATACTAATCCAAAAAATTAAATTATTTGTGTATTTATGTTTGATATCAGATCTGCATTTTACTCATATATCTAAAATTTACCAAATTAAGGTAATATATCATTCTGAGGAATTAACTATTTCTACATTTCTTGGAAATTGATATAATCATCAATTAATGATATTGATACTAGATCACTTATTTGAAAAAAGATAAATAAATTTTTGGGAAATGATATGTTAATATACTTTAAATATGAAATATATTGGAGCATATCCAATATTTCAGTAAATATTTAAGGCTATCCAAAAAGCAAAGTAATACTTCCAATGCTTAATAGACCATATATGATGTATGAATTCATGTCTTTTATGTTATTACTTTATTATTCTTATTTTTTTTCCAAATATTATGGAACTTCAAGTCTTAATTGATATTTTTCTTATTCCAATTTAATATCATCATGATTAAGAATAGTAGCATTTAAATCTATACTAAGAATCGGTTTAAAATCAAGTATAGTTGTAATCTCAATTTAGATTTCATAAAATATTTCTTGTACTTCATCTTTTATAGGTTCTTTCTTATTAATAAATTTAAAGACTTATTACTCAACAGGAACATTAAGCACTTCTAAAATCATGGACTCAGTCAAATTCTAACCATTCATAATCTTTATATTCTAATTGAACTGGAATAGAACTAATTGCTTATTATTATTTATTGATCTGAAATTAGAAATAAATTAAGGCGGATTTATAAAACTGCAAAAGCTTCCATCACTTGTATTTTTACATTTCCAACTAGGTTCCACAAAACAATAATAACATCCATCATTTGGATCTTGATTCCCATCATCGCATTATTCTTCCCCTTCTAATTTAAAATTACCACAATGCTTTGATATGTGGAACATTCACCTTATTTACAATCCAGACAATTTGTCTCACAAGTATATCGACAGTTAAAGCAACCATCAAATTCAATTTCATTCCCGTCATCACATTCCTCATTAATTGCAATTATGCCATCTCCACATATTGATTGACAACTATCCTCAATGAAATAATATCCTTATCCATATAACAATTTGCAATCTATTTTGCATATACCTTTTTCACAGACTTCACATCCATCATAACAAGAAAGTTTACATTCATGACATCCATCATTTTTTTGATTGTTACCATCATCACACTCTTCAAATTCTGGTAAAACAATTTTATCTCCACATATAGGATTGCACATACCATTCACCATTTAGAAACCTTCCATACATTAAAAGCAATAAAAATAAATACAAATTGAACAGTATTCATCACATTCTTACCTACATTGATAGCAATCTTCTTCTTATATTAAATTACCATCATTACAAACCTATGAAATTTATGGAACTAACATTCCATCTCCACAAATTGGCAAGCAATTTTCCATCTTTTCATCAAATTTAAATCCGGATGCACATTACTCACATATACCCATTTAACAATGTATACAATTTTAAATACATGAATATTTGCATTCAAAACAGCCATCATGCGCTTTAAAATTACCATCATCGCATTCTTCATATCCTTCAATTTTTTAATTACCGCAAATAGGCTAACATTACTTCTCTATTGTATTAAATTTCCACCCTTCCTAACATTACAAACATTATTTATTCAAATAATTTAAACAACCAGGAAAAAAAGGAAATTCTATTTCATCTACATGATAAATCAATTGATATTATATTTAGACTTGTTGAGCTACACTTCCCCATCTAGAATAAAGTCTGAAATTGAATTCCCGTATTCCATAATCCAAAATCATACTAATTTACATTGTTCCATCATCATATAATTGTAATATTATCTCTTAATTTATTAGAAAATTTTCTCTAATTTATATAATATCATATTACTTTAATTAAACTTGAGTATTGGTATTTGTTTGAACAAAATCTATATTTAAAATTCTTTCGCATTATGAACACTCATAATACTAAGAAAATTCATGGGTTTAGTGATTTATTTCAATTAAATTGGAAAATAAAGTGTTTTCAAAGGAATAGAACAAATTGTGCCAGCTCTAACAATCTGATTGTTTAGGGCCAGAACAGTAAGTGCATCCTATATAACAGATGTCTAATTAAAACTCCATTTTTAATATACCCCATTGTAACTATAAATAGTACAAATTAATTACTCTTTATTAATTATTTTATTTTATCTTAGTGAATATATTTACAATGTCTTTTGTATGTTCTAATTAAAATGATATTGATTTAATATATTCATTTTTATCATTTTATCCACAATAGTTTTATTGATCATTTATTTATGTAGACATCGATTCTGCAAAATTATCTTAATCCAATTCAACTTCTAAGTCAGCAGTTGATAAAGAATCTACTCTTGTAAACTTAATATTATTTATACATCAAAATTTGGAACTTCAGTTCTAACTAATAATGAGGATCCAAATTACTAAAGCTTCTACTAATCATGGTATTTTCATCAAAGCCTCCAAAAATAGTAATACCAGCACAATTTGTTAAGTACGGAAATTGTGCATTTAAAATTGACCAACCTAATTTTATTTTAGTATTATTACCATCAAGATTTCCATTAGGATTTGCAATATACATATAGAATGCACATATAATCTTAAGCTAGCTGATAAATATCAACAACATCTTAAAATAAATAATTTAGAAATTTAAATGCTTTTGCAGAACTTTTTTAGTCTTAATAATTATATCATCTTTATCCTTTAATTTAGAGATAAAATCAACTGTTTTAGTTAAACAAAAAAATTATTAAGTTCACATAGTTAATTCAAATAATAAATGCTATTTCTTATCTCTAATAAAATAAGAAGAGAAAATTAATTGTGAATTATAATTATTGTAATGAATATATATACTTAATAATTCAATTTATAAGTTTAAAGCAAACTTGGTAGAGTCATACGAATTATTAGAATATTTTTATGGTCAAGTTGTCAAAAATATATAAATCAAATTTTTAATTCATTACATAACCCCTAAATGTATTAAAATTATTTTTAATTAATAATTTATTAATGAGAAGATAAATACAATTTCTAAATTTTAGTTAATTTTTGAATAATAGAAAAGTATAAAATTGTTATTCATAATTCTGAAAATGTAGAATTTGAAATTGACATTATAAATGTAAATGAATATAAAATAAATATTATTACTAGTTCTAAAAATAATATATATAATATTCATAAACTGGATAAATTTAAAAAATGAAAACGTGGTGTCAAAATATATCTTGAACTTGCCTCAAAATCATTCATAAAATCATTTTTAAGAGTTCGAATCATTTTTATAAGCAATATATTATTTTTAATGTCTTCATCATGTGTATGCTACTATAAATTGATGAGATTACCAAAGTAGATTCATGTGCATCAATATATTCTTCATAGATCTGATGAATATTCTCTTGATTTTCTAATTCAACTTATATTTCTGCTTAATGATCTTCTATCTATTATTCCATATCAGCAATCATTTATTCTAATTCTGATATCTATTCATTTAATTTTTCAGTTTTTTCATCAACATGTTCTAATAATCTTTCATGTAATTCTATTCTTTATTATTCAGCATTAAAGAGTGCTATATTTGTATCTGCTAAATTTTATTCCCTAAAAGAATATTGAATTATTAATACATATTGGCAAGCATGTCAACAACATAAGTAACATGTTCTAGATTTCCAGTCTATTCTGGAATTTGGGCGAATGATTCTTTAGTTGATAAAGACAAGTACCAATAATTTGACTAAAGGGATTTGATTCTCCCAATTATTCCTTAGCTTAAGATCGTATCTATAAGAATTCTGATCGTATGTCATCGTAACTAACCTCTAATTAATTATCTTGTTTAGCAAATTTAGTTTAAGGAGCAAGATCAGGCATTTTAGGTATCAATTAACCAATTAATCCTTTTGATCTACGAACAATACCACTGGACATGGTTATTTCACTTCTTCGTCTTTCAAACATAGCAATCTAAATATTTAGTTGATATTTTGAACTTCGTTTTCTCGAATTTAGACTAATTCAGAAACGGTATTTTCAGTCACTTCTAGTATAGCTTATTTTTCATCAATAATTTATGCAAACTTATTGGTATAATTGGTTAATAGAGCTATTTTATTTTCCAATGATGTAACTCTATATTTAGAATCTTAGAGCATTCTTTATGTTTCTTCAATATTTAGCAATTCTATTAAATATAATAATGTGTAATTAAACCTGTATCACATTATTCTTAGAATTCATCTGAAGTAAGAGATGCTACTTTAGCTTCCATATTATTAAGATAGATTAAGAATTATGTTTAATCATGTCCTAGATTATTTAATGTAGTATTACCTTTTCTTAGAAAGGCTCTTACTTCTTTGATTAGATGTTAACCAACATAACCTTCACTTGCAATATTATCTATATCATCCTTATTTTAACCAACTTAATAAGCAGTAGCTAAGTGTAAAATAAAATGTATAAAAATCATTAATTATTTATGGAGAAATTATTATAGATCTCATAAGAAGTAAGAGAAGCACTTGAAAAGGGTCAAGCAGTAGTGGCATTAGAGTCAACAATAATAACACATGGAATGGAATATCCAACAAATGTTTAGACAGCTTTGGGAGTTGAGGAAGAAATTAGAAACAAAGGTGCTATTCCTGCAACAATTATTGTAACAAAAGGAATACTTAGAGTTGGTTTAACATAAGAAGAGATTGAAGAGATAGGAAAGAATAAACATTAATATTAGAAATGTTCAAGAAGAGACTTAGCCTAAATAATTGCATAAAAAGGATATGGAAGTACAACTGTGGCAGCAACAATGATGATTGCTAATATGGCTGGAATAAAAGTATTTGTTACTGGAGGAATTGGAGGAGTACATAGAGGAGCAGAACATACTTTTGATATATCTGCAGATTTGGTTGAATTGGGATAAACTCCAGTAGCAGTAGTATGTGCTGGTGCTAAATCTATTTTAGATATTCCAAAAACATTAGAATATTTAGAAACATAAGGAGTACCTGTAGTTGGATATAAAACTAAACATTTTCCAAATTTTTTTACTCCTGATTCAGGTTTATTATGTAGTACATTTGTGAATTCTAGTCAAGAAGCTAGTGAATTAATTAAAGCATAATTTGATATATTGAAACTCAAGAATGGAATTCTCTTTTGTGTGCCAGTACCATAAGATTAAGCAGCAGATGGTTAAATTGTTTAATAAGCTATTGATAAAGTATTATTTCATTCTAAAATAGGCTCTTAAAGAAATGGATGAATAGAATGTTAATGGAGCTTTAGTTACACCATTTCTATTGAAAAGAGTTAATGAAATTACTGATGGAATGAGTTCAAAATCTAATGTTGCCTTAATTAGAAACAATGCAAGAGTTGGAGCTGAAATTGCTATTTAATTATGTTAAAAATGATTGATTTATATTTCATGAATAAAAATCTATAATGATGCCCAAATACCATGTAATTTATAATGTATAATATGTTAACCATAATGAATCTTATATCTTATATAATGTCTTAAATTTTTGATAATTACAAAAATGTAATATTGAAAGTGGTATCAATGTTAACCAAGCTAATACAGCTGAAAATATATTACTCTATATTGCACTCATACTTAATAATCCTTAATATATTTTATTTATACCTGATATACCATACAAAAATATTCTTCTACTTGTATATTCTCCTTAATATTTATAATTGAAGCATGAACTTAAAAATAAAGTTGTGTAATGCAATAAATACAATATTAAGATTGCTATAGCTACTGCCATTCTTTTTGAAATGAAATTTTCATCATTTTGTATTAAACTCATTAATCAATTTAATATTATTAATGGAACAATATACTTGGCTTGAATTTTGTGTTAAACCTTCCCTAATCAAAGAATATGTAAATTACTTTTTCTAATTAGATGAAAGCTCAAGATTTACCTAATCAAAGAGCTCTCTTCCAAACATATTTAGATCATTTATAATCTGTATGTTTAGAGGATTCAAAGTTTTAAGGAAAGAAATTTAAAAAACTTCTATAAGTTGTATATTAAATTAATGAAATCTATACACCCATACTTAGTGATTTTTCTAAAAAGAATCTTCAATTTGAACTTGTCCAGCATTACTTCAAAGGAGCTCAATAAACAGAATACTATAAATTATTATTTTCAGCATATACTCTCGAATATTTAACAGAATATATTTTACACAAAGAAATAACACCAGAAAGATTAAATTCTATGATCAATCTCTAAGATTTGGAATCCATTTTATCAAATTCTACAGAACCAATTGCAATTCTTAATATTTAAAGATTAATTGAATTCTATATGTTATAAGAAGAACATAACATTGAAAATCTATTTTATATTCATGATAAATTACAAAAGACTTTGACTGAATTCCCAGTTGGTTATTCAAGTGAAAAAATTGAAGACTACAAATATATTATTTTATAAAGTAAAGATGAATTATCACCTGTTACTGATTCTGATGAATCATAAGAATAATAGATTGTATAAAGATAAACTAAAACTGCTACAAGATCTTTTATAGAAAAAGAAATTCTGGATGGACCAAGCAGTACTAGAATTATAGTAATTTATTTATAAAATGGAATATCTACAAATAATAGAGAATTACTATTATAATTGCAAAGAATAGTTAATGGAGCTGATCCTTTGGTTGATAAATTAATTACTATTTTCATGAAAAATTCTCAAATTGTTGAAATAGATTAATTGATAAGATAATTAGAAATTGCTGCTATCTCAGAAATCAATATCATAAGTATTTTAGCTTAATTGATTTGTAAATTTGCTAATGGAAATAAGGATGTAACTAAAGTACTTATCAATCTAATCAATAAATTTTATAAGACCTTATAAGATTAAACAAGAACTATATAAGATTAAGTTAAAAGTATTTAAGAATTTGTAGATATTATTTAAAAATCACCTATATCTATGCCTTTTAAAATTGATCAATATAATTAAAATGTCTAATTAGCTTTATCATTAATTTTAAGTCATTCAGATATAAAATTATTACTTGAACCAATTTAAGAGTTATTTACAAATTGTTTAGATAATTTAACTTTTTTCATTGAAAATTGCTTATCAAAATTTATATTAGAGTAAATATAAGCTTTAATTCTGAAATCTATCACAGAATATAATCCACTTGATTTTAATAATTATTACTCTTTAATGCCTATATTGAATTAAGATTTTCCATCTTTTGAAATAAAATTACCACATGATGTTAAAGTTAAATTATTAATCAAATCTTTTAAAAGAGAGAAAATTGTTACAATTCAATAATTTGATTAAAGTCTATTAGAAGATAAATTGTAATTTAAATATTCCAAATTATACAAAAAGTAATCACTATTTCATTATAAAAATCAACAATATAATAAATCTATCAGACAAATTGTTAAATACTTTGAAGCATATCTATATAGTCCTTAATTTGAAGTACATTAATATATAGCAGAAATTAGAGTTTTGGAATGTCTTTTTTAAAACTTTAAATCAATAGGAGGTATTAATATTAATAATTAAATAGCATCTACTCATTCATTAATTGCTAGTTAATTTATTTGTTATACTTTAGAGAATGCAATATTTGAAAATTTAGATATATCAGAAGAATTGGCTTAATTCTTTTTTGATGGAAGAATGATTGAAAAGATTTGTGCTGCCAATCGACATAATTAACCATTACTCAAATTAATGGTTTAAAGACTTTAAGATCCAGATTGTTATGTATTTAAGACTAATAATTTATTATTGTAAACACAAGAGAAATACTTATCCATGTTTATTAATTATTTAAGTGAAAAAATGGTTATATGATGTTTAATATAAAATTATTATTTCAAAGTTGATCACGAACTTTTAAGTAAGCTTATAAATCAAAGTCTGGATCATCAAATTATTCTATAAAAATTATTATATATTAATACCTTCTTCCTAAAGATCTTCTTCTTATTCTTCACTTTCACTTGAACTAGATTCTTCTTCTTCTCCAGGCTAATAATCTTAGTCATAATCTTCTTCATTTTGATCTTAAGGTTATTAGAAAAATTATTGAGTATTCATTTGTATAGGAGCCTATTAGAAAACTGGATTTAGGTTAAATTGGTTTTATTATGCTATTAAATTCGTTCCTTAATTCCAAAATTAGGGTTGTTAGAATTATTAAAATTAGTTCGTGAAAGGATTCATAGTATTATTGGGAACAGTATAAAATTATTAGGATTGATCAGGAGTAAATAGAAATGAATTTTGGAAGCAAGGAGTTGAATTGGCTTGAGAGTTGTGGTTTTCAAATTCCATAAGCGCGAAATTTTATTAATATTAAAATACACATAACTTTCAATTATATATAAAACAATAATAATGATATTAGATTTATAACATAATTTAAAGAATCAATATGAAATCATATAGGAATCTAATTTTGTAAAAGTATTTCAATTAAACAAAAAAAAATCAAACATACGATTTAATTTAGCTTGAATTTTCTTAAAAAATTATATATATCATTAATTATTATTTAGATAGAGAATCATAAATTAGAAGAAATATGATATGTTTAATGGCTTGATTAAATTTTGTAGATTATATAAAATCAGTATAATAAATAAAATAATTATTGTTAGAATATATTATATTAGGATATTAAACAAGATACTTAAAATATTCTTAATAAAATTAAATGTAAATTAAAAATGAAATGAATAATCATTACAAAATAAATATGGTATAACAATTAAATATTAATAATAATAAATATTAATCAATTGAAATATTATAACTTTTTACATTAATATTTAATAACTATATTAGATTTATGAAATCAATTTGAGCAATCTAAATATATAAATATTTTTATAAACTTTATTTTTATTTCTCATTCATTCTTAGAATAGTAGATATATTAAATAGAATATCACTTTCATTATTTGTTTTTAATATGATAATAATGAAATTGATATTAATTTAAAATAATCATTTTTTTCTAAATTGCAAACTTTTAGAATACCCTTAATGAATTTAAATATCATAAATTAAGCTTAAATAAAATGAGAGGGCATTAATAAAATTATCTTTTCCAAATTAAGCCTTGTGATCAAGATCTGTATTAGATTGATTATAAATGTAGTAAAAGGTTATTCTCTTTAAAGGAGAGAGTCAATACAAAAAATAATAATACTTCCTTTATCACATAACATTTAAATTAATCTTATTAAAGAACTGATTTAAAAATAGAGACCGCCTAAAATTAATTTACTCCAATAACTCATTTAGAAGTTCAAAATAAACAGGAATTAGTATTAGATAAATAGTTTTAAGATGTATATTAATCATCATAAGAAAATAATAAAGAACTTTATAATATTAAATGTATTCATAAAATAAAAAAAGAGAATTAATATTCATCATAAAAAAAAAGAAAAACATAAAAAAGACCTTTTCAATTAAATAGAACACCAGAATGTTCGAGATCAGCTAATATTACTTTAATATTTAGAGAAAGTGAAAAAACCATGGAACTCAAAGATTACTCTTTGAATTTGATAAATACATGCTTCTAATTAAAATAATAGATTATATGTGAATTATTTCAAAAATAGCTATTTATAACTTAGAAAATATAAGGATATATTGAATGTTCAAGAATTTTAGTAAATGGAAATATATTTGAAGATTAAATGTTAATAAATGAAATTAAATATCCTATATTAATTGAGATATTTTAATTTAAGACACCAAATTTCAACTAAAATTATCATTATTAATTTAATCATGAATAAATATACTAAAATTAATATGATGGTCTAAGGGTATAAAATTTATAAATTATGTATAATAATAAATAAATAGTTTGGTCTGGAATTATTGATATTTCTTACATTGATTTTGAAGAGATTTTAAAATTAGAAAATGGTTATGAATTATATAATATTAATAAGTTAGGTTATTTTAGAATACCAAATTAAGGTAAAAAGTTGAATTGTAAAAGAGTAATTAAACTAAATATACCTGAAGAATTACTTATCTTAACTATTGATGACTATGGAAATAGAGATAAATTATATTTAATTAGAAAATTATCTGAATAATGTAAACTATTAAATTAAGAGTTTGTTAATTTAGATAATGAATGTAGATTTTATGAATTTATTGAATAATGATTATTTTACTTAAAAGAGATTAAAAATTTATTAATTTATAAATATTCAAGAAGAACTTGTTGATTTTCTTAAAATATCCATCATTTTAATTAAATCTTCTATTTATTAATTCCATAATACTTATTATTCTTTATTTTAAGTATTTAATTATTAAATTTAAGTTACTAAAATATCATTATTTTTTCTTAATTATAAATTCTCTTATTTCATCTAATGTATTAATTCTTAATTGATTTAATATTTCCCTAAAGATTCTGAAATTTTCTCTATTTATATTTACATCTACTCTTTCTATTATTTTAATTTTACTCTTTATTTTTCACTATCCAACAATTTATCTTCTAATTCATTTATAATCTTTTTGCTAAAATCATCTTTAGAATTGTTATTTTTTAAAGTAAATATTTATTATTCTGCTTGATTCAATTTATTTTATAATTCTTCAACTTATGCTCCAGTATATCCTGATGCACTTAACAATTATATATTTTCAGCATAATCTACTAAAATAGTCTTAATTTATTCATTCAATTATGAAGGTAATATGTTGCTTTTAAATAAGGTTTAGAATTGCTATGTAAAGAAATCAAGTAATTATGAAAAGGTTTATGGTTTTAGAAATTTCTTATTACCTGAATTTGGTAATGATTATTAAGTTGGTTTCTTACCAGATGATTAATTGGACTATCTTAAACTCTTAGTAGTTTGAGGTTGAGGTGAATTCTTATTAATATTATTTACTCTTTTCTATTCTTAAGAGCTTTCTGAAGATGATGATGCATTCCTATCTTACTTTTTCAACTTCTACTCACTATATCTAGATGCACTTTAGGTTGTCTTTTTCCATTTTTCAATTAATGAATCCATTAATAATATATTATTTAAATTATAACGACGCATAAATATATAAATAATATTTTTAACACTTCTCTTGATCTCAAAATATTTAACAAATTCTAAAAGATACTTGAAATCATTTACATATATTTAAATATGAATAAAAAATACTTTTTTTATCATAATGTATATATTCCTAAAACAAAAATTCTCAATCCTAATAAGTAGAATAGATAATTTAAAATAATCACAGTCTTTAAAAAAGACTATATTTTTAAAGTCTAACATAAATAACATATTTATAATATATCAAAATGATAAATATTTTTAATAAATTTTTCCTTCGTTATTTAAACATTATAACTAATAGAATAATTTATAATAATCTTTATGTTTATTTCTTTCAAATCTTTAATAATAATTATTAAGTATGGCAGATTAATTACCACCTGGTGGTTTAAATAGAGGGTTAGTCATTTCATTATGTTGTTCTTGTCCACCTGGATGTCCATGTAGATCAAATGAACTTAGGAAGTGGCATCATAAAGCCTGTGGATGTCCTTCCTTTATTAACGAATATGGAGATATTTTTTGTAAAAACTTTAGAGACAGACCAGAGTGTTAAGGTTATTTTATATAACATGCATAATTTTAATGTTAAATTTCCCAACGGAGTTAAACTTGGGTAGGGTTTTAAACTGCAGCAAAATTTCTAATGGCTTTAGCATAAGGAATACAGGCTGCGGAATTTGAACTTAAACAAGGGTAAAATCTTGTTCATTTTGTTGACACTTTATCCAAAGAAGTTAAGAAGAGATGGAATGATTGATTTTCTAAATTTATATATATATCACATAAGAAATTTGTATTCATCTAAGGCTTTTTTTCACTTAGAAATTTAATTAATCCTTTCATAGAATTAAAATTATAGGGAACAGTGACCTTGAAAGGAATAAAATTTTAATAGGAAATAGAATAAAATTTATATTACTATATCCCTTTATTACATAATATTGTAAATAAAAAATACAAAGAGAATTGTAATAATCAAAAAGTAGAATCAATAAGAAAATATTAGACTTTTAAAAAACAGCCGTTTTTCATGTCTATTAATTACATGTAAAGATGCAAGATAATAAATAGAAATATTCTCATAAATTTAGAGAAGAAGCTGAAATATATTCAATTTATATTTATTACTGAAATCTAAACTATACCTGAAAAAACTACCAAAGCTATTGGATTAAGTTGGTTTATTACTGTTCTTTTTTTATATATTGGAATATATATTAAAATTGAAGGAATATATTTTAATAATAAATATTCATATTAAGATTTTAGTTACACTTAAATTATTTAATAAGTATTCTACTTTTATCAAAATTTTTGATTAAAGATTACTCTTATTGAAAAGTTTAAAAATTAAGATGACATCTTAAAAAGTAGAATTATATTCTAATATGCTTTATTCTATATTGATATTGAAATAAAATAGATATAGATGTATAAGAATTTCACTTAAATGTAATTTTTCTAATCAATGAGAACAGTCTTAATTTATCTTCAATAAAGAGATATATAGATATTTAATGAAATCTAATGAAAAAAGGTATTTGAAATACAAGATTAATTTATATAAATTTAATGATATATTTATGATAAAAAATATAGATTATAATAATTTTTTTATAATCAATCTAAGTTTTTTTTAACAATTATATTAACAAATTTTTTTATATCTTTGGTAATGTATAAATTAAAAGTTTATAATGAAAAGAATGTGAATAATGAATTTATAGACAATTAAACTTTATTTCGATAAAAGAAAAATAATATATATTTGTATTAATGAATTCCAGTCAAAAGTATTATTTATATTTATTATTAAAATAGATGAAACATCATTATGAAAGTGATGAAGATGATGAAGAGTTGAAGGTAATGGATCTGGTTCATTTTAGGTTGGAGATGTAATATAAGGAAGATTCAGTATAAGTTAGAAAATTGGAGAGGGTTCTTTCGGGTAGGTTTATAAAGTGATAGATCAGAAAAGTGGGGATTAAGTGATGGCAATGAAAGTAGAAATAGAGGAAGAGGATTATAGTATGTTAGAGAAGGAAATTAAAGTATTGATAGAGATGAGGTAGATAATAAGATGATAATTATTAGAAAAAAAACTGGATTCCCTTAAATAAAGTTTTATGGATAAGAAAAGAGATTTACATATTGTATAATGACAATGTTAGGAAAGAATTTAGAATCTGTAGTGAGAAAGTGTGGAGGCAATTTTGATTTGGGGACATCTTTAAAGATCGCAATTCAAGTAAGTCATTGATACAATATATAGTGAATAGATGATAGATAGAATCGAAACCCTCCATAATTGTCGTTTCTTGCATAGAGATATTAAACCTGATAATTTTGTACTTGAAGCAGGTCCATCACCTAAATTGATTTATTTGATTGATTTTGGACTTTCAAAACATTATATTGTAATTGAATGTAATTAATATAGAACTCAAAAGGGGATCATATTCAATATATTAAGAAAGCAGGTTTAATTGGAACTGCCAGATATGCTAGTATTAGTGCTCATGATGAAATGGAATAAGGAAGAAAGGATGATTTAGAAAGTATTGGTTATGTGTTGATTTATTTGGCAAGTGGTACATTACCATGGATGAATTTGCAGATTGAATAGAAAGATTTAAAATATGCTAAAATTCATCATATGAAGAAAACAATTAAACCTGATGTTTTGTGTGCAAAATTGCCTAGAGTATTTATTTTAATTTATATAATAAAATAGTGTTTCACAAAGTTTATGTAAGATGTAAGAGGATATGATTTTAAATAATAACCCAATTATTAACTATTAAAGAGTTATTTCTCAGAAGAATTAGAATAAATTTAAAAAGAACGAAAAGGATAATTTTAGTATGATTGGGAAAAACTACCTGAGTATTAATAAAAGAAAAAGCATCTTACAGTTCATATTATGTAATAAAGTAGTAAAGAGGAAAAAGTTAATATAGTCAAATAGAAAGAACCTCCAAAAGTAATTCCTTAAACTTTCGAATAAATTATGCAAGATACTAAGAAAAAGAAAAGCACTAAAAAAACAACTAGTCATAAGACAAAAAAGAAAGATCCAATTATGATAAATATAGCAGAACCAGAGAGTCCTGCTTAAATGCCATCTTTTGGATTATTAAATCTTAAGCCATATCAATAATAAAATTCATTTTTACAAATACCTTAATTAAACTCAAGTGGATTAATAGATTATTTACCTTCTTTGAATCCCTCAGTAGCAACATCTAAAATGAATAACTATCATCAAAGTGAAGATGTTGTTAGTGAGGGTAGATTGCCTATTTGGGAATTAGGAGATGGTTAAATTCCAGGATTTTAAAAAATGATTGGTTATGTAACAAAAGGAATAAAGAAACCAAATGCTGATTTTTAAAGAAAAACTAGAAAAGCACATACATGTATATATATAATCAATATATTTAGAAATTGATACTATTAAAAAGATGTCGTAAAATTTAGTTCAACCTAAAACAATTAAAGGAGATGATGAAGGAATTCCTGAAGGATTGGATTGATTCTATAATATAGAATATAAAATATATATTGATTAAGAATTCCGTATTGTAATTCAACAACATCCATCATTTTTTGAGTTTTATTTCTTCGTGTCTTTAACATCTTTGATTTAGAGACCTTTCTTTTTCTTACCTTTGCTTTCTTAAGCCTAAACTTTGATTGAGATACCTAATTTAATGAATCAAATACTTTCGCCTAAAGATCTAAATACTTCATTAATACCAATCCCAGCTTTGGCTGAAGTAAAGAAATGTTTTGCTCCTATCTTTTTGCAATATTCTTCTACTTCATTTTTATCAATTTGCATTTAATTCTTCATATCACATTTATTTCCTGCAACAACGATTGAAATATCCTTAGTTCCAAATTGTCTTAATTCTTCTACCCATTTTTCTACCTATAAGTAAATTTAAATGTTATACTTTAAGAAATGATTCTTTATAAGTGACATCATAAACAAGTACAGCTCCATATGCATCTCGATAATATACTGTGGTCAATGCATGAAATATTTCTTGACCTGCAGTGTCCTTTAAAAATTATATATTTAAATACCCATATTGCTAATTTAATGTCTTTACCACCTCCAAGATCTACAACTTTATCAAAATATGTGGCATTGACTGATGATTCTTAATTCTCATTAAATTGATCTTAACAATATCTTAAAGTTAAACAAGTCTTGCCTACTCTGCCTAAAGATTAAATCAATATGACTCACCCTCTCCAAGCATCACAATTTTTTTTGGTTCACTCATACAATTTAATAATTTATATATATAATCAAGTACTAAATAGTGGTGTTAGTTTTGCAAATTCCTTATAAAACAAATTTCGTTCCTCCTTCTTTCCTTTCTTCTTCTTGTTAAATTTAACCTTATCATAGAAGAACTTAGTTTCATTTTCACATGCATTGAATAATCCATTGATATCTTAAAGTATAGTCTAAACAAATGAACTATTCTGACTAATTATATCATAAGTAATAGGACTAATTATTGTCAATTAGAAGTCCTCTTTTTCAAAATAAAAAAATGGACTATTATTAATTTATTAAATTAATACTTCTAATCAAATCCTTTATAAAAGATTCCCATAGAATGAGGATTGAATTTGGTTCCATAAAATTCTAGAAATTTGTATGTTGCCAATCCAATTGAATGGAATCCAGCGTTTTATTAATAATAGTACTCCAGAAAGGACACAACTATTAGTACTAAACAGAACGATGAAATTCCACCTTTAGATTAATCATTTAATCCTCTCTTTTTTAGTAAACTTTTAAATAAAAGTGTAAGAGTTTTTAATTCTTAATATTCTTAAAGCCAATAACAAGTAAGTTCTGTTGATATCAATCCTTAATGCTTAATGTGTCCAAAGAAACTGATATCTACTTAAATCAACTGGGATTGGCATACAAGATCTATAGGAGGTAAATTCATATTCCCATTCCTAAATGGGATACTGGGATCCACCCATAACTTAATGAGAGGCAAAGTTGTTTAAGTAGGATAGATTTGTCTAACTTAATAAAATGATTTACTTAATGCGTTTGACCCAATTCATTTTAGATAAGAACTCTATAATGATATCCATCTTTTAGTTTAATTAATGTGTTTCCAGACCAGTAATACCTATATCAATATCACTATCAGGAAGAGCCAATCTTGTGGCACATGATCCAAAAAGACACACTCCAGCATCCTTAAATAATAATTAAATTATGAATTGAATTCTATTAAAGATTAACTATCTAATTGGAAATTGCTAATCATTGTCTCTTCTAATTTAATCAATAAATTCTTTAATATCAAGATCTAATTTTTTTATCATTTATTAAAAAGCTTGATTCATAAGATTTTCATCTATGGGATCTTAAATTAATTCAATTGTTTTAGGTAAGACTAGATTTTTCCTAATTAATTTTTTCTTTTCTGGAGTACTAATAATTTATTCTTATTCTTATTATTAATTTTATTATTATTATTATTCTTATTATTATTATTAAACTAATTACTATTATTAATCTAATTACTATTATTTTTATTAATCTAATTATTATTATTTTTACTCTTAATTTAACATTTATATTTATTCTTATTAATCTAAATCATTTTTACTTATTTCCTCAATTTCCATTTATATACTATTTTCTTATACTTAAGGTTATTGTTCTTATTATTCTAAATTTAATTATTTTTCTTTATTAGAATTAGTTGAATTAGAATGATTAAGAGATTTCTACTTTTTTTTCTTAGTCACCACAATCCAATCCTCTGTGTCTTGATTGTCATCAGTAGTAACATCCTAATTTTCATGCTCTTTTTAAACAACAATTTGTGTATTTTCCTACAATACTTAATGTATTAGTTTCTTTTACTTATTTTATTTCTTCTTTTTCTTTAATTTTTATTATGACATTTATTGATGTTATATATTATGATTATTCTTTGTTAAACATTCTAATTCTTATAAAATTGATTATTTATAAGATTCTCTTATGATTTAAAGAACTAATTTTTCACAGAGACTTTATAAAATCAAAGTATTATGTATAGGTAAATAGAAAATGGTTTCAAGTTGATTATCATTAAATTTACTAAGAATACTTTGAATATTAATTGTATGATCTTTAATAAAAGAGGAATATTATTAGAGTATAATGTTTTGATTTGGTTTAATGACATTTGAAATACAATCATATACCTTCTTTCTTATATTATTTCCATTGTTTATCCAATATTACTAAAGGCATTCATGATTAATGAAATTAATATGTTTATAATAGAGCAGTGTGACTTACTTTTCAAACTCATTTATTATCCAATTTAGACATGTCTAAGGTTAAGTAGAATCAAACCAAGTAGCATCTTAAACCTTTAATTGTTTATTATCTTCAACAATTTTGAGTTATTCTGCAAAAGCCTTACCATTTGAGCAATCCCTTAATAGATTGATTATTTCAATCATATCTCCTCTGATACAAATAGTATCAAATATTTCATCTTAATCAACCAAAGTTAGTTAAGATAATAATTTCTATAAAATATAAGTGATGACTTACTTCTTCTAAATTATTTTTTTAAGTGCATTCCGTGATTTCACATATTTGGTCAATAGAATCCTTGAATTGAATTGATTAGTTCGAATTCAATTTGTATTAGGATTTCTGGACTAATCTATCATGTAAATACATCTTTAAGATAAATAGGCTGATAGATTTCTAACAAATAACGAGTTGATTATTTCCATTATGCTTTTTCACCCTAAACTATTCAATGATGTATATTTACCAACTCAAAAGACCAGAAAAATATGATTATGACATGATATATTTTGGATATTATTTATTAAATAAAATATTTGCGAAATATCATAATAAAAATAGTGGTTATATAATAAATAAAAATTTCATTATAAGTTAACACATTCATTATCTTAAATATTCTGATCTTTACTTTTCTTTGAATTCTCTCAAGATTTCAGCTGCTTCTTTACTTATAAAAGTTTCAGTGTCATTAAACTATGAAAATTTCATTGTGGGTTATTTATAACTATCTCTTTCATTTAATTTATTTAATATTGAATCTATTTATTAGGTTTCTGTAGAATCAAAAATTCCTTTAGATTTCAATATCCCACTTAATAACTAGATTGCATCAATTGCTAATTAAAGTTTTTCATCATTACTAATTTTATTAGTTAAAGCAGGTGTTTAAGATAATCTATTATTTTATTGTTAAGAAGGTGTTTGTGGTTATTGAGGTATTGCAGTATTAGACTGAGATTACTTATTTGTAGTATTAATGAATAATTAAGGTTAGGATGATGATTTAATTTAGCCTCCATAATTAATTTATCTTTCAACAGAAGTAACTTATTTATCTAATGATTATTATGATTATAATTATTATTATTATTATGATTATGATTATTATTATGATTATAATTATTATTATTATTATTATTATTATTATTATTATTATTATTATTATTATTATTATTATTATTATGGTTATTATTATTATTATTAATTATTCTATTATAATACATCTAATATTAAATTTGCTGAATCTCTTATTTATTTTATCTAATAAAATTATTACAATAAATACCTTATTTGATTTTAATTCATACATTAATTCCTTAAAATATGAATGTTCTTAGATTTTATCTTTTTATAACACAACCAGAGAATATAAGATATCTAAAGCCATCTTCTTAACTTGCCATTATTGATTTTATAATAACTATGACAAATGTGGAATAATTTCATCAGCAAATATACTAATATAAATTAATTATCTTACTCTGATTATTCTTCTACACTTAAAATTATTGCAGCCATTCCTTCTAGGATTTCCACTTTCCCATTTTATTGATTCAATAATTATATGAATTTCCTAAATAGAAATAAAGCATTTTGTTCTAGGATTTCGTATGATAAAAATTAGACTACTCTTGTTAAACACAATGAATGTTATGCATTTTAATTCAAATGATTCATGAGTGGTTTCAAAATGCTATTTAATACTTCTCCATCATAACAACAAAGTTTCACTATTTTTCCTATAATTTCAGCCACTTGAGTACATACACAACTCATTGATTCAAAATCTTTGATTCTCTTCAATAAATGTGTAAATATCATAGGTAATTGAGGACTTAAGTTTTCATTGACACATTCAGCTAATAATCCAAATAATTTTAATTGTTCTTTGACTACACTAATTTTATCTGATTTGGCTTCTATAAGTACTTAAACTATCATCTGATATTGATCACATTCAAGAAATAGCTATCTGAACTGAGGACTTGCAATAGGTTTTTACAATAAGTATTAAAGTTGTTATTTGTAATTTTTCATTCGTTATAATTTTAATTAAAAAGCCTCCATAATTTTATCAATATATTATAGTCCACTTCAGCTTAAATATATTTCATGAATTTCTTAAACAAAATATTTGCAAGTTCACTTAATAGAGGCTCTTTTTAAATTGAGGATGTTTCTGGTTCTGATGAAGATCAAGATGAAATTCCAGAACATCAAGTGATTCCATAATTTAAGAAATAAAGTATACAACAATTATCAAGTTACAATTCTCGAAAAAAGCCATAATCTAAAATGGGTTAGGCTGATTTCTTGGCTAAATATGATGAAAATTTTGATGATGTATTTGGAGATAAACCACCACCTATAGATTTCCCTAAAGGTAGAAAAAGGAGATAAGAAGATGACGAAGAGGATGAAAATGATAATGATAATGAAAGAAAATCATAAAAGAAAAAAACTTAAAGTAAGGAAAGGAAATAATAATCAAAGGAATAAAAAGATTAATCAAAAGAATAAAAAGATAATAAAAAAATAACAAAAGAATTTAAAGAGACTATTGATTATAAGGAATTTAATAAAGAGTATAAAGAATCTATTGAACCAAAAATATTAAAAGAACCAAAAATAAGATTACCAAAATTTCCAAAATAAAGAAAAAGGATTGCTAATAATCATCTTTCAACATTAAGATCAAATTCTGATGGTAGAGATAGTGTCAGTAATAAGGATAGAGAATCTATATAGCTAAATAACAAATATAATCCTAATGATATTGCATTACCTTAAACAGCTATACCAAAATCTGAAAAGAAATAAGATAAATAAAAAACGATGTTTTTTACATTTGGAATGAATGATAATGATGATAGTGATAGTGAAAAAGATATAAAAAATAAAATAAATGATTTATTTGATGATCAAAAATAAAAGATTGATCAAAATGAATAATAATCTAATAATAATATTAATAATCATTTAAAAGAACAAGAAAAAAAGAAATAGAAAAATGATGAAAAGAAAGATAGAAATGAAAAGAAATAAAGAAAAGAGAAAAAAGATAATGACAAAAAAACAATCAATCATTTAGATATATTTGATGAAATTAAGGATATATAAAAAAATTTAAATAGTAAATAAAATAGTGAATAAAGAGAAACAAGAAAATTGAATAGTGAATAAAGAGAGAAAAAAAGAGATAAGAAAAGAGAATCAAAATAAAATAGAGATAAGAATTAAAAATAAACCTCGAAATCTCCATCTCCTTAGTTGAAACTTATATAATATGAAACGTAAAAGAAAGTTAAAAGAAGCCAAAAAAGAGTTGTTTAGGATTTGGAAATGTTAAATGTAGATGAATTATCATTAAATCCAAATATTGTAGAATGCAAAGCCAATTTATATTTAGATTACATTCCTGTATATGATTGATTGATTTATTAAAATAATGTAATCACCTACATCGTCTATAAATAAATTACGAAACTCACTTACCAGCTTTTATGTTAAAAGTAGTTGTTCTAATAAAACATCACCTATCAAAGAAGATCCTACAATACTCTAAAATCTATTAAGAATGTAACAGAAAGAAATTGATAGATTGGAACATCAAAATAAGAATCTGTAAGTACTTACATAACATTAATGTTCTATACTTTATTAAGAGAGAACGTTACGTACAAACTCTACTAAATTGTAAATACATGCAGATTTACCACAACCATTACCAAATGCTAGAAATGCTAGAAGATCAACAATAAAGAATGTATTATAGGCTATGAAACCACCACCTCGTAAAATTGTAGTCTCTAATAAACTATAAATGACTAACAATGAATGTTTTAAGTTAAGCTCAATTCTAGAAGCAACTAATACACAAGCAAAATAATTATATCATGATGATAGTAGTATTTAATTAGTCAAAGAAATACTAAAAGATGAGGATTCATTTATTGATATTATTACAACATATCCTCCTTAATAAGTTTCAATTATGTATGATAAAATTAAGAAATTAATCAATGAACATGAATAGATGTTTGAAATGATTTTAAAGTTCAAGTAAATTATAGATAACTCTTTTAATCTATAAAATATTAAATTACAATTAGAAGCACTAAATCAGTTGAGTTAATAATGTAAGAATATCCTTGAATGTAAAAATGCATAAATTATTATTAATAATGATGAGACAAGTAAATCATATATATAACATGTATATAATAACAAATAAATCCTTAATTTGAAAAATGCTAAATTTGATGAAAGATTTAAAAATGAAAATTTCAATTAATTATTAGCAGCACCAATTTTAGATAATAATAGATGTTTAGGTGTTATTGTTTGTTAAGATAAATCAATCAATTTTAGTAATGAAGATGAAATTTTGATTTAATATATTTGTAGACAGGCTCAATATATACTAAACAATTAAATATCTAATAATAAAATTGAAATTCAACTTTAAAAATATTAACATGCTCTAAAAAGTTTATTATTATTATAATCAATCGATGATTTAGATACTAAATTACATTTCTCTTAATAAAGACTTTGTGAAATTATGAACAGTAGTGAATGTAAAATAATATTACTTCAATAAGATAATGAACTTTAAAAGAGTATTATATGGGAAGCTATTCATAACAATTAGACTCTTTTTATTAATAATTGCTATAATCATGAAAATTTTTAACCTAATGTAGATATTAATACTTAATTACCAATTATAGCCACTCCTATAAAATATAAAGATAAGATTATTGGAGGAATAGAATTTATTTTATATAATAAATAAATTTCATCATTAGATTAAGAAATTTTAGATTTGTTTATATAAATTTTGGGAATAAACTTTTATCATTTCACAAACAATTAATTTTGAATCTCACTAAGATTTGGTAGTTGTGATTTTTAATTTATTGGAATTTCATTTTATAATTACAACTACTTAATTTAATTTTATAAGTATTTAATTTCAGTTTACATCTATAATAATTCTTCATTATTATCAGAATCTTTTAATTTTTAATTCAATTCATTTGTTATATCCAATAATTTCTCTCTTTCTTATTTCAATTTTAGAATAATTTCTTTTGAATTCTATAGTTTTTTACTAAGATTTTCAATTTATTGTTTTAATTCATTTGTTACACTTTCTAAATCCTCATTATTTTTTGATTATGCTTATAAAATTAAGATTTATTCTTTATATTTCAAAATTTCTTGTTAAAGTGATTATATTTTTTCTTTTGCTTAATAACATTCTTATTTTTGAATATTTAATTCCTAAACTTTTAATAATAATTAATCCTTTGTATTTTCCATTGTTTAATGCATATCTTTAACAAATAATTTTAATTGAGTATTTTCTTATTCTAAACTTCTATGATGTTTAGATAAAGATTATTTTGATTATTTAATTTATTATTGCATAGAACCTCTTTAAAGTAAACTAGAGACAGGTCCTTCATCACCACTAAAAAGTAGCTTTTCAACAGATTCAACTTCTTCCTCTTCATCTAAGAATTTCATTTTTGGTTATTATTATTATTATTATTATTATGATGGTTTTTTATTGGAAGGATTAGATTATTATAATTATGGTTTTTTATTTGTATTATTTTAATTATTATTTTTTCTTAAATTAACTACTTCTTCTATTAAAATATTATTTTCATTTTTTAATTCTTAAATTTTAGCTGCCATATTATCTAATAATTTATTTGATTCATTAATAGTTGATTTTAAATTTACAATTTCATCATTTAATTAATTAATTTAATATATTTTTAAATCCATATCATTTTTTTATTGTTTTTTATCTAATTCATTATTTTTAATTAATTATTATACTCTTTATTCATTATCAAAAATCATTCTATTAAGTTTAGATTCAATTTCTTAATATTTTTCTTTTTAATTTGCTTCTTATATTTATAATTTTTCATTTTCAATTAAATATTATTGTAATTAAAATTCTAATTTTCTAATCTTCTCTTCAGATTAAGTTTAAATAGATTTTAATTATTGTTATGTTTATTCTTTTAATAATTTACCTTTAGTTTTCTTTTTTTATTTCATTTCTAATAATTTATATTCCATTTCCTATTTCTCTTATTATAATTAGATAATTTTTGATTAAAGTTTATTTTAATTAATTGAATCTTATCCTTATTAATCATCATGATCTCTTTTAATTTAATCTATAATTTATTATTATTATTAGATTTTCAATTTCAATAATTGATTATCATTTTAAAATTCTCCAATTTGTTCATTAAATTATTATTTCTATAAATTAAGTTTCTATTATAATTGTACATTTTCATTATTAATTTAGATATGCTATTCTGATGCTTATTCTAATTTGATTATAAGATTCTTTTAATCATTCAATTTTTGTATTAATTATTCAATTTACTCTTTTTAATCATTTAATTAATCTTATTGATTTTTGAAATATATTTTTTCATTTTTCAATTATTCTAATTAGTTTAATGTTTATTTGTATTTAGTCTAGAATTAATTAATCTCTTCTTCATGTATTCGCTTTATATATTTAATTTCTTTCCTTTATTCATCATTCTTAGATTTCAAATTATCCCGTTATAATTTCCATTCCTCCTACTTTCTATGTATCTCAGCTTCCAATTCAATATATTCATTCAATTATCTATCATTCTATTATTTCAAAGTGAGTAGCTTGTCTGTTATTTCATCTAATTCATCATCCCTATCTTTAATAACTCTTAAATTATGCTAATAATCATCATAAAGATTTTTGTATTTGCTTTGTAATTCCAATATTAATTAATCCTTCATTAATATTTATTTATCTAACTGAGCTATTTTCTATCTTTAAAGATAATATAACTATTTTTCCTATTCTTCTATTTCATTCATATTATAATTTAATTGTATTATTTTTATAATAAAATTACTTTATAAAATTTTCATATTTTAAACATTCTAAATTAGTATCTATTAATAATGACCCTAATAAGAATTCTGTCTAAAATTTAGATTACTTAAGTTATATACATAGTATTTTTAAATTTATATAAAAAATAATTCAATATGAAATGAAAAATCAAAGATTCTAGAGATCATATACATTTATAAGTTATTGAATTAATATTAGGTCATAATAACAGGCAAAAATATAGAAAGGATTGCTGAATTAATTTGAACATTAATTGATAATTTATACATATTTATTATATTAATTTATATATTCAATATAATTATAGGAATATCTAAGATGAAAAAAGCATTACAAGTACTCAAAACTTAAAGTCTTAATTACAATTCTATAAAGTCTGGATTAAACTATAGAATGACTATTAGAGAGAATGGGTAAAGAATGGGTCATATTTCCATTAACCTTAATAAATCTAATAATGCTTCTGCAAATACAATGCTTAAGAAGCTTCTTTAAAATCAAGAGTATACAATATTAAGAGATTAAACCAAAATGATATTTGAAGGTTCCTTTGATGCTTTAAAAACTTTGACAGGAGTGACAACTTATTACCCAGACACAGGTTAAAATAATTATGACTATATTTAGGTTTATTAGTTTATGATTTAGATGCAAATAAACTTATATTACATTTAACTAAAGAGGATGTTTAATGTCAAGGAATAGTCTTGGGCTATGTTATGGATTAAGATGCTATTACAATACTAAACTCTCTTAGAACTTCTACTATTCCATTGCAAGCAAGATTAGAAAATACTTATAATTATTATCTAAAGAGAACCTTAAATGTGAGCTTGGCTGTTTCTTTGTTAGTATTTTATAATGCATTTTCTGGATCTCAAAAATCAAAATTTGGTGTTTTTGAGCGTGATGATAAACAACCTAAAGTAGATTCTAAATGAATAAGAATTAAAATTAAAATATTATTGATAAAATATTCTAATAATCTATTTAACTATTAAAGAATGAATTCATTATAATTAAATACATCAAAAAGATTCATTTCTATTTATCTTCACAATCTCAAAGGATATTTTGTAGACTTTTGTAGATATTACTTTTATTATTTTGGTTATATATATATATTATTATATATTGATTAAAATTGAAGATTTATTTATGACTAAATATATCCAATTATATTCTATATATTTTTTACGATATTTTTATTAATAAATTAAGCAAATATTAATTTTAATTCTAAATAATTTTTAGATTATATTACTAATATTAATATTTCTTATATTTATAAAATTATATAGAATAGAATTTTATGTTGAATCATTGTTATCATCAATTAAAACATCATAATGTTAAGAATTTAAAGATTTTGTTGTGTAATCTATAAATATGTTAGTATAATAATAGTATATATATTACTTAAGATACTTTATTATTTATACTATAATTTGATCCTTAATCTTATTGCTTAATATGTCACATTTAATGGCATAATTTATAATAAATAAATATTTCATAGTCATGTATGTCCCTCTAAATGTTTCCAATGATATGTCTTAACCTAATTTTTACTAGATGAACGATTACAAATAAATTTCAAATTAACCAAGCTCTTTGCATATAATAAAATCTTTAACTGGAATCTAAATGTAAGAATAATACAATTCCTCTACATTTAATTAAGGTAAATAAATAAATATAGGTTCTCAAAATTCAAGGATCCTCAATCTATATGCAACAAACTTTTGTGGACAATTGATATCACAAATACCATTATTTTAATGCGTATCAAACCCTTAAAGTTCTACAATATCTAGGTATAATTTTAATAATATTAAGTGGCTAATTGAAATCATTATTATTATTTGTATAGAAAATTGAATAACCAAATAGTTAATAAATGCCCAACTCTCTCAATCAAAATGGACTATTTTTAAGATTAGAGAGAAAGTGGTAATTTAGTTTTTTGTGTTTTAATAGGTATAGAGAATATTAATTACATTTTTCAGACCTAGACTTAATGTATTTTATGTAGAAAAGGGTTAAAACAAACTCTTAGGATATGTTGAAGTTCCATATACTTTTATTACTAAGAGTTGTTATATTTTTGATGGAAATAATAATTTTAAATATAAAATTACAAAAAGGTTGCTGGGGTAATCAAAAACATATAGCCCATTTCCTGAGAGTAATAGATATGATTTAGATTATTTTGATACCAAAGACTCATAGGATCAAGTAAATATTTAAGAATATCAATTTAGGTGATTTCTTAGATGAGAAAATAACCAAAAAGTGAATATTATTTCGATTAATAGGCCAATTTTACTATTGTATTCCCTGAAATTTCATCAGCTGAGGGAAAAGTATTAATATTAGCTGCCGCATTAATATTTGAATGCATGTATATCTGATAAATATACAGATCATTTTATAATTTAATCCAATATCAATAATTATTTTCATACATATATATAAAGAAAGTAAATAACATATTTTTATACGCTTTTCAAATTTTAATTAATTAGGATACTAAATTGAATTAGAGTTTATCTTAATCTACTTAAGAATTATTATTAGGAATTTGTAGTTTATATAGTTAATAATGTAATGGTGAGAATATCATTTACTAATATGATTTTTTAAAATCATCTTAATTAATTTATTGAGAATGTAATTTCTTAATCCATCTACTAATTACTATTTATCAAAATTAAATTTGAATAATAAGAATATTCATTAAGATAAAAACACATAGAATTTAAAATGAAATTTAGAATTTCCTACTTTAAAATGATCATGATAATAATTATATAATCTTTAAAATGTTTGATGAAATTTTATTTTAATAAACAAGAGCTCCTACTTATCAATATGATATATAAGAATAAGATAAGCTTGGACAATTATTATATCGGGAATTTAATTAAGGTTATAAATTGTACTTGGATGAGTCATAGATTAATGATGTTACAAATACTTTTGAGGAATATATTAAGGTGAATGTGGATAATCAAATAATGGGTGTAAAAGAAATAAAATAAAATTTTAAAACTTTAACAATATCAAAATAGAATGCAAATAAGAAACATTAAACATTAGTTATTAGATCTAATTATGGATTGAAGATTGAAAGTTAAGATTAATATATAAGTGGTACAGTGTTTGATTTTTAGGAATGGAGTTGTATAGTTGTAATTATGATTACTCCTGAAATGAATTATGAATATGTAACTCATTTTAATTCAACAGAGAAGTAATATTATTCTTTTTAATTTGAAATGGGTTAATCAAATAAATATCTTATTTTAAACTTAAATAAATGTCATATATGTTTTTATAATGAAAATCTAATCAAATATGAAAAAGTTAAATGTTTATAATATTTAGAATATATAATTTAATAAATACATTATACAAATTATTCTTCATATCATAGAATTGAATTTTAGAATACATTAAATAAATAATAGTTTATGGATTAGTTTTTATTAAAATCAGATGTAATCAAATGGATTGCATAAGATTTTGAATATGAAGACAATTAAAATTATTAATTATTTAAGTAAATAAGATATAAAGAGGATATTACATATAAAGTTCCTGAGATTTTTATAGCTTTAGGGACATTGTCTAAATTAAAGTATCTTTATATACATAATTAATCAATTGTTGGTGAATGTTTATTTGGACAAATAGAATTTGGTGAATAGATATTATTTATTGATATATCACCTAGTTAACATTTTGTACATATTTATGAATGTGATTCAGAACCAGTTTTCAAATTACAATCATCAATATGGAGATATAGAAAACCTTTCAATGATTATTAGATTGAATTAATATATAAGGATAAAAAAAAGCTTATAAATAAGATAAAGTTGAAAGGTAAGGTTATTAAAGGAAGATATATATATGCAAAGAAATATTCATTATATGTGATATTTCATGGTAAAATAAGAATATTGTAAAGTGAAAACTTAATAATTAATAGATTGATAGGGGAATATTCATAAAAAGATGAAATTGAATTTGAGAGTGAAGATGGATAATGTATAATTAATTTTATTTCAATTTAATAAGATTAAGCATATAAATACAAATTTAAATTTTTTGATTGATTTGTCATTTTTATATAATAAAAATATATCTTAAATTAATTATTATTCAATTTTTTTTTTAAATAATATAATTTAATACTCTATGAAAAATAGGAATAAGGTATTGATTCATTGAAACTTTTTAAAGTTAAGAATAAAGGATATTTTGGAATAGAATAATATTCTTTAAGATTAAGCAACAAATGAATAATTATGTATTCAACAAATATTTTTAAGGAATCTTAAAAAAATCTTTGAATAATTGTCATCTACACTTACAAATAGACTATTAACATTTGCAAATTTTACATTTAGAATAAGATGAATAATTAAGGTCAATTTTGAATGGAATTTAATAAAATTAGAAATAAGGTTCAATGCTTACTACAGAACTTTGGTCAAAGAAATAATGTAGATAATATTTACAGTAAGCTAAGTATAAAACTAATGAAAGTGAATTAGTAACCAAATTGTAATTGGGGGCTATTGAAGGGGAAAAAAGATTAAGATAAAAAATAATTAGAGATTGGAAAATAAAAAAGAATTATGATATTTAAAGAGAATTAGTAAAGTATAAAGATTAAGAGATTTATAAATAAAACGGAATTAAGTATTATTAATCAAGTTAATCATTTGGATAATTAACAATAGACTAAAATTAATCAATTAAATCATATTATTACAGAACTTTCAGAATTATAGAAAGATACAAAAATAGAGAAAAATAAATTTGATTAAGTGACATAATAAAAGAGAAATACTAATCGTTTATAATAGATATCATTTTTAGAATTTTTGTAAGATTGATTATATATATATAATAATTGTTTAGACTTTGAATTTAGTTCATTTTTTAAATAATATATAAATTAGACTAGAATGTTGCTGAATAATTATTAATGAACTAATCAAGTTGGTTTTCAATTGAAGATTTAGAATTGGAGCATTAAACATCTGAAGTTAATCCTCCAATTAGTAAGGAGAGAAAATTACCTGAGAAATTAAACATGGATTCTATACTCTCTTAATATAAATAAATAGAAATAAATTCAAATCTAATCAAATATATTGTTTCAGAGAGTTAAACAACTGATAATAATAAACAAATCAATGTTAAATCAAAAATTAAACTTAAATGTGAAGAAAGAGATTTAGAAGGAAATCTTGCCAATAAGGGTACTAATAATATTTAAGCCACTAAAATATCAATGGCCTCTAGTATTCCATATATCTAAGGTTTAAGATCTGCTTTTCTTACAATGAAAGAAGGTGATGTTGCTTGGTTTAAATTATCAAATGAATAAATGTACACAGAATAAGAAATTGCAAGTGGAATCTAAGTACAGAATTTATAAAAATATTTCAAAATTGATATATTAGAAGTAACTTAACCTGAACTTCCTATTGATATTACAAGTTTAGAAAAGTAATATATATTAATACATTTAAAGTCGTTTAAAATAATTGGAACTATTTAAAATTGAAGGAAATTAATTTTATTAGAAATAATAATATTAAAGTGCATTATTGAGATATTAAAGAGGATTAAATTTTTTAGAAAAATGGCCTAAAAAATTTGAAGACAATCCTGTAGCTATTGAAGCCAAAAGAAATTCTTTATTAGTTTTATCAAGTAATAAGGCTTAATGTTTAATAAAATTATAAGATTTTAAATAAGCCATTTAAGTACTTGAACCTTTGATTGGATAAATGAGAAATAAAGTAATATATTTAAAATTAATTTAGGAATATGAAGTCAAGAATTATTATAGATTAATCACATGTTTAAAGGAGATTGATGAATAAGTGAAAGCAGACTTTTATTTTGGATAGGTATCTCATATGTGTTAGTTATCACAAGATTAAAAAAGGTTATTTAAATCTATCAAATAAAAGAAATGATTTAAAGTATATGACAATTTATTTTAATTTATAAAATAAAATTTTATTGTAATTTAAATTCAATTATCCATAGTCTATTCTCCAATTAATATTCCATTTTCAAATATTCCCTTTATTTCAATTTAATCTTTTCTTCTCCAATCCAATAAATTATATAATTTATTATCCTATTTTATTATACCATTTCCATGAAATTTATTATTTTTGAATTACCCTTAATAAATTACTTCATCATGATATTTTAATACTCCTTATCCTTCAAGAATAATATCATTTTAAGATTCCTAATAATCACCTTCATAAGTATATCCATCCTCAAATGTAATAATTCTATTATATGTTTTAGTCCCTTAGTTTAAGGTTTCTTATATTGTTTTGAGAATTCTAAATTATTCAGATTTTATTTGATTTTTTTGAGATTCATCTAGATTTTAATAAGTATTTATGTTTTTCACTTTTTGTTTAAAAGGTTATTTATATGGTTCAGATTTTTATTTTATTGGTATTAATGGTTTTGCATTATATGTATACTTTTAAATTTACTATAATAAATTTTATTATAGTTTAAGTCTTGATTCATTTTTCTTCTAAGATTCATCTTATTTAATGTTTCCATTATTATTATTATTTTAGGTTTTAATACGTTATTTTTAGTTATCTGAATATTGTGAAAACTATAGATTTATATTTTATTATGAAGTATCATGAGCTTTTGTAAATGGTTTCATAATTTATAAATAAAGGTATAGAAATATTTAACAATAAAATAAAATAAAATTGAATGTGTTATATTTTTTATTATTATATATTTAAAATTGTTAGTAATATTATGGATTGGGTAGATTATATAGTATTTATTATGATAGAAGTATATAATTATTTTATATTGGATTAAATGGAATAATAAAAACATATTAATCAAATTCTACTAGTTTAAATTGAAGTATTATTTGAAATTAATTCATAGCATATTTCGTTATAATGCAAGACCCAGTGCTTTAATGTTTACAAGAAAATCATTACTCTAAATAAATAATTGGTGTATGTGTTAATTCAGAATGCTAAAAAATCAGACCATATTGTTAATAATGTCTAAAATGCTATCTGCATTCAGAACATCTTCATGATCTTTAAGATTTTACAGACTTTTATAATTATGTGTAAGAAGGGTTGAATACTTATAATAAAATGTAAAATCTAGCAGAGGAATTACAATCTATAGCTAAACTGATTACCATAATTATAAATTAATTAAGTTTCAACCCAAAGATCAATCTTAAAGATATGTCCATTATAGCTATTAACAATCTCATTAATAAAATAATAAGAGTGAAAGAAGTGGAGAAAACTATGAAAAACAATTTAGAATTAGCAATGATACCATTATAAAAAATCAAATAAGACTTTTAAGAATTAATACATAAAAATAGTATATAATATTTAATAATAAATTTAAGATGAATAATAATTGATTAGAGAAGAACCTCATAAAAAAATACCATAAAAGTCTAAAAAATAAAGGAGAGCAGTTAAAGAATGTTCAAAAGGTCTATAAAGTAATATAATATAACATTTAGTTATTTAACATTAAATAATGACAAAATAAGAAGAAATAAAACATCAGGTTGTTTGTATTAAACCTAGTAAATCAAAAGATGAAAAGAAGTAATAATAACAATAATAGATGATCATTAATTAAGGAAAATATTAATTTTCAAATTTATACAAAAATAGAGCAATTAATGTTATATAACCAGAAAATTCAGCTGAGGGTTTTGGATTTTGTGTATGTGATTAGGCAATTTCTAAAATTGGAATAACTCTCATAGCATTTAGAATAATTAAATGTGATTGGAGAATTCATATTGGAGTTTGTGATAGAGATATTTTAATTGAATCTAAATATGATCCTAATTTAGCAAATCTTGATCATGGGTATATTGTAAAAATGAATATTCTAAAGCACTTATCTAATCAATAATTAAGGAGATGTATTCTCAACGGCAGATATTGAAAATAATGATAAATCAAAATCATTTAAATTTTACAATAAAAATATAATTACAATAGAAATTGATTATCAATTATAGTAAATAACTTGGATCAAAAAATAACCCAATGAAACTTTTGTATTAATAAATATTATAATTATTAGACTCTTAAATTTGACACTTAGAAAGAACTCTATCCATGTGTCAAACTCTGGGGTTCTTCTAAAGTAGAATTACTTAATCCAATAATTCTTTAATGAATAATATTAAATTTACTAACTGGAATAATTACCAGCTAAAATCAATATGTACATTCATTAATTCAGATCATAGAATAAAATTCATTTATTGATCCCTCTAATTCTCTTTTCCATAAAGAATTATTTTCATCTTATAAATACCTACCATGTCTTGAATGATATAAAGCAAGTCCTAAACATTCTGCTAATTTAGGTATAGTATCCTATTTAACACCTTTATAAGTCAAAGGAATCAAACTAATATTTTAATTAAAAATCTAACTTAAAATCTAATCTAGATTCTCTAAAATGTGCATAAATGTTAGAAATTTCTAATTTTTTTGAATCTTCCTATTTCCCTTCTATACTAACACATGTTCCTTATGTTTCTATTAATGGAAATTCTAATTAAATTCTTTTAAGATACCTTTTAATTTCAATTGCCTTTTTAATGCAGCACAATTACTCTTCACTTATTTGAAAAATTATTAGTATTCTACATTTTAAATTTCTCCTAAGGATACAGTTATTCCTGTAATAGTATGAAAATGAGGTCCAGATTAATAACCAGGATAACATGCTTCATCAACTTCTTCAGAATAAACCTTATCTGAAAATAATATACATCCTTTTGGACCTAGTAAACTATAATTAATTAATCAAAAATACCTTTGTGTATTAACTACAACAAATTAATACTTTTATAATAATTTAGATTCATCTTCAAGGATATTTGTAACATAATATGGAGCCTTATCTGTTATATCAAAAAGAATTGGTATATTTTTATATTCTTACCAAAGTGTATCCAATCTATCTAATTTAGAGTCAATGATCAAATCAATTTAACCATCATAATTTTCATTCTTAATTACATTATAATATTTCTCAAGTGCTATTGTATCTGTATTACCACGATTCAATATTGTACCTCCAGGTTTAACTAAAGCCTTGCTTACTATAAATTTAGCTGTAGGAACACTTTATAATTGAACATTCACATTAAAATTATTTAAATTAAATGCTTTTTAAGCTCTCTCCCAACATGTTTACTCTATTTTATCATAAATTTCAGTTCCAGGTTTGTTTTTCTTTCCTGGATAACCAGATGCATATTTAGTTGACATCATAGATCCTAATGATTATTATACAGCTAAAGATGTTGGACTTTCTGTAAAATCAATACATTAATGTTTAGATGCTTCTTAAATCAAATGATAGATCTCAGGATCCTATTGAGACAATGAGAGATGATGATTTTTAGCAAAGCAATTAGATATAAAATATCTTATAATTTTAGAATTCATAATAATAAAATTAAATTTGAAAAACAAATAATGATAATATATAATCAGCTTATGAATATAACTATAAAGGTAATATCATCTACTACTGAATCATCTTCCTATATTAATTTAATTTATAAATATACTAAAGTCCACATTTTATAGGAAATCTACATTAATTCATTACAAGCACCCTCTAAATCACCTTAAATATAATGCTTGCCTACAATATCAACAACACTTTAATTATCAATAAATTCCCAAACTCCATCACTACCTAAAATAATGAATTTATCTTAAGGAGTCAATTAATACTCAAAAATCTCTATTAAAAATATAGAATTTAAATTAAATTACCTGGAACACTAGATACACCAACTGATTATGCAATCTAATCACCAAGACTACGACTCATAGCTAATCCTGGATAATTTCCATCTCTTACCCAAACTCTGGCTGGTCCAATCGAATTACCTAATGGATTAATAAATGATACCTTAATCATCATAATAAGTATCTACTCTACCACCATGCATATGTATTCTATTCATTTCTTTTTCAAGACATGGTTTATGATCAATTGATAAAGGAAATGGTTTAAATTTTGAATTGTTACTCAATTTTCCTATAATTGCTCTACTGTCTCCAACATTAGAACAAATTAAATGTCCACCATCTTAAATTAAAATAGAATTCATAGTTGTTCCACTAAATTAAGTATCAAATTATTATTAATTAATTAGATTAGCTAAAACTGATATAGATTTAACAATAGCTTATCTGGGATGTTATTTTAATTAATTATCTCTTTTAAGTATTTTTGTAAATTGATCTCTAACATATTATGATACAAAATGTCCATTTTATCCATGACCATCACAAACTGAGAATAAATGTGTATCAGAGACAATATTAGTTTCACAAATGTAAGTATCTTAATTAGTTTTATTAGGATTTGATGCTAATTGACCTTATCTTGTTCTTATACTAAAAGACAATTTGAATTGTAAGAAATTAGGATTGTAATGTAAAGATTAAGCAGATCTATATTTAAGATCACTTTTAGGTTCTGATCGCATATTATGAGTACTTGAACTTTAAGCTCTACGAATTTATTAGTCAATAAGGGAATTATTAAGCTATAAATATGAATATAGATTCTGTTACAAAATTGTGCCATAAATTTCTTTTATCAACATTTGTTTTCTACTTTTAATTTGCATATTGTTTAATCAGATTTTAAGTAGATTCAACTGCTGTTTATCTTTTTGGTTATAATGATTCATAGGGTCTAGATATTTCTATTTTTAAATGAAATCATAATACTTTTTTAAGAGTTCTTTGCATCTATTGTAGCAGATCTTGGTTATCGCAACTAAGAGAAATTGGTCTTAAGCTATTTGGCACTGGATTTCTGTGTCTATTCTATACGTAGATTCTTGATAAAGTAATTGTTGGTAATTTTGTTAAGGTTTTCCTTCCTCATGAAAATGCTAACAATCAGTACAATTTAGCAATGGTTTTAACATCACTATTCAAGTATGCTCCATAAGACGTCTATGATTTACTACCTATCGCCTGTTTTGGTTTCTTTTCATTTGCTTTGTAAATATCAACTGTTCTTTTCATTAATTAATAAATGAAATAAGATGATTCACAGACACCCAGTCTTTGTGGGTACTTAAACTTCTTTTAAGTCTTAAAAGATATGGAATCAGAGGGTCTAATCTCATAATAAGAGAAAAGACTCATCAAATAAAAATTAACAATAAAAGAACCAACACTAATGCTTCTTTTATCTAAATAATAAGAAGACACTTAAATTAAATCAGAATTATTATGTTATGTATCTTCACTTCAAATGACTCGCTCTAAATCACATACTCAAGAATTTGGTTCATCCAAAAAACAAGGATAACAATTTTAAGTAATATAAATATATTCATATTTTACATAGTCTTAAACCATTTAACTTATGGATTAATTGATTATACAATTAAAATGTATGCAACAATATCCAAATCATAATGTAAATGTGTTTAGTTTATTATTTAATTAGATTACCTAAGAATTTAAGTCTAAAATTGAACAACTAAGAATTATATTCAATTCCTTAGATTAAGATGAAGAAATTGATTACTCATTTATTGAACAACACCAATAAAATTATTAATAAATAAAGGTAATATTGTCGTTACACTTAGCAAAGGTATTCTCGTTACATGAATTCACTTCTTGAATTAATGGATGAGAAAGTTGAACCTAAGGATATTTAGGCATTTCTAAACACCTTTCTAAATCAACTTATTGGATGCCAATCTTATAGTTTCATCATACTCAAAGATTAAAAAGTTCAAATTCATTAAGAAGATAAATTTGAAGAATTTCCTATAAATAAAGATGTCATAGATGAACTAGTCAACTTATAATAAATAACTGAAGTTCATTCTTTGAACATTATCAAATAATATTATCAAACTTCAAATAATTTTATACTCAAACTCACAGATTTCGAATATTTTGTTATGTAATTAGATCCAAATTTCATGTCATTTGTTATTTTATCCAATAAATATCATTATGTAGACTCCTTAATAGAGTTAGCTCAATTTGTAATATACACTTCCTAATAAATCAAAGTCTAATACTTTAGTATATTATCTATAGGAGATACTATATTAGAGTTTGGTCTAGAAATTGTAAGATGTTCCAAGTATTTACTCATTGAGAATATACTCTAAACGATTAATAAATAATATCAAATCCATGAGATATTTGAGAATCAATCTAATGTGGTTACACTTAAATTTAAGGATTCCTCATCTTAATATCTATTTGCAACTAATTTAGATCTCAAAAAATAGTAAGATTTATTAATTTATAATACTATAAATCAAATTTATTAACGATACCAATAGTTCATTAAATAGTGTTATGAAAGAATGCAATTCTATAAATACTTCTTGAGATCTAAGAATTTATTTATGATTGATTTTGATAAGTAGGGTCGATTACGTTTTTTAAGTAGAGCATTATCATAAAAGATTAAAACATAATTTCAAATTGATAAAATCTAAATTGATTCAACTTATAAATAGATATTCACATCTAATCATTAAATGCTTTAAAATATTGAAAATTACATTAGTAATATAAAATGGAAATTAACTTAATAGGATGAAGATTAAAATAAACAATATGAAATATTTATTAGAAAGGAAGAGAAATAATTTAAGGGATTTACTTTAATTTTATTAGAGAATGAATGGGTTAGAAAAAAGACTTAGCCTCCTATAAATGGAAAGACAATTAGAAAATAATTATTATAAACAGAAACCATGGATTATATCAAGAAATTAGAAGAATTTAATCCTGATATTAGAAATTCTGTAGTTGCAATGTACATGCCTTAAACATAAGATTTCAATCCAATAGCTTAATAAACTTAGAAAACACCAACTTTGGTTTTCAGAAAAATTGATAAAGAATAAGTTGTTGGAAAGAATAGTTTCTTTTTTAAACAACGTGAAGAAGAGAGGAGATTTATGAAAACAAATCCAAATAAATTTAATGAATCTCATTTGATTCTTAAAGAAGAGGATAATCAATTAGATACTTTGGAATTTAATATACATTTAGTAATATATTAAAAATAATTTAGATTAAATCTACAATTGAGAAATAAAGAATAGTATGGTCTATACTAGAAAGAAATAATTTTAATTAAATCTTTGCATTACCATAAGATAAACTAATTAACTTTTTGAATGAAATGGAAACTTAATACAATATGAATAATAATCCTTATCATAATTTTGATCATGGAGTAGCAGTAATGCAAGCTGTTAATTGTTTTATGAAATCTTTAACAAAAAAAATAGATTAATAATTTTTTAATAATATTACTAAGTTTTGTTTATTGTTATCAGCCTTATGTCATGATGTTGCTCATACAGGTAAAACAAATGCATATGAAGCTAATTCATTAAGTCAATTGGCAATTCGTTACCATGACAAAGTGGTATTTTTTATTTTGTTAATTCTTTTATTAGATATTGGAATAACATCATGCAGCAACAACCATTAAAATTTTAAGAGATAATTAAACTAATATTCTGTGTAATTTTTCTGATTAAGATTTCAGAACTTTTAGAAAATAACTAATTTCTAATATATTATCAACTGATATGTAGGAACATTTCAAAATGTTGAAAGAATTTGAATCTAGAATAGAATAATATGGTAATGATCCTGAAGATTTATCTTTGTTATGTGGAATGATTACTCATGCTGCTGATTTTAATGGTACAGCAAGAAAATGGCCATAAAGTAGATTATGGAGTGATAAAATCAATTAAGAATATAGTGCTTAATATGCTGAAGAAGGTAAAAAAGGTTATCCTTAATAACCATTTATGAAGGATTTAGATAAGGTAAATTAGAATATTTAATATCAAAGTTACATGTAATGTCCAAAAATGAAATTGGTTTCATTAAGGTGATAGTAAGACCATTATATTGTTAATTGAATTTATTTGGTAAAGGGGCATTTTAAATATGTTTGGATAATTTAGATGAAACTATTTTCGAATGGGAGAAGGTGTATTAGTAAGAAATGAAGGCATTATAACAATAGGGTAATTAATGATTTATGATGTATGATGATATTTTTTTGTTACGCTAAAATAATAATTTATATTAATTTAGAAATTAATATAAATTAATAATGAATTTAGGTAAGCCAGATCTCAAATGGTATATTCAATAGAAAGCAGCTTAAAATGTTAAAGAGAGACTTTATGGATATCCTAGTCATTTGAATTAATTACCTGTCTAAACTTAAATCAAGTATAGCATACCTACAGAATTTGTGGGATGTATAAATGATCAAGATTAGAAGGATGTAATTAAAATACTTAAATTTACTCATCTCAAAGTATCAAATTCAATTTATTTATTTTAGTGGTTAGCTAAAAACAATAGTTTTGCTTTAGGTTATAATAAGATTAATAATTAAAAGAGATAAGGACATTTGTCTATATTTGATTTAAATGATTGGAAATTGTTTTATAAGAAATTTGCAAATGATGAAGCAATGGTAGGAATATTAAATTAAGAATATTTAAATAAAGTATTTGGAATTGGAAGTAATGGTGGGATTTATACAATTGAAAAAGGATAAGGAGGATTAGAGTAAAGACCAGTATTGGAGACTAAAATCTCTTAAATTACAGAGGGAGCATTCTCACCTAATCATTATAAAATAGCTTTTTCAAGTTAGGATAAATTGATCTATTTATATGATGTTTAATCAGAATAGAAGGAAACTCTTATTGGACATGGTAAGGAAGTATATACAGTATAATGGAATCCAGAGAATAGTTTGATAATTAGTGGAGCTGATGATGAGACAATTCGTTTATGGGATGCTTCTAGTAGAGAAGAAATTCTTAATTTAAAAAGACATAATTTAGGTGTTAAAAAGGTTAGATGGAATAGAAATGGATCATATTTTGCTACAACAGGTAAGGATAAACAAACTTTATTGTTTGATCTAAGAAAATTAGATACAGAAATATTTAAATTACATCAAAATCAAGTAGACACTATATTTTGGCATCCAAAATATTAGAATATATTTCTTACTGGTGATGCTAATGGTTCTATTTCATGTTATAATATTAATGCTCCAACAGAACCTATGTATATATAACATGTACCTGAAACTATTGTTACAGATTTGGCTTTGGATTCAAGTGGTTCAATGATGAGTGTGATTAGAGCCAAATAAGTATAGCCAGATTAAAAAATTAGTATGGCTGATTAAATATCTATTTATAAGACTGCATGATTTATATATATTTATATCTTTTATACATAATATAAAAAATAATTAGTTTTATACAATATTAATATATATATGAGTAATAATATTGAAAGAAGCTTTTCTGTAAAGAATAGGAATTTTCATCCAGAAGAGACAACACAAAGTAGTGGTAAAGTGAAAGTTACTAGACATTTTACTAATCAAGTTTATTAAGCATAAAATTCAGATTCAAAACCTACTAAAGATGTTGAGAAAGTGAATGAATTAATTAAATTGAGTGAATAAATTAAAAAGGAATTATTGAAAGTTAAGTTTTGTATGCTTTGTAAGAGAAAGTTTTAGAGTATCAAATATTTAATTGAACATGAAGAGAATTCAGAAGTACATAAAAAGATTAAATAATGATATTTATTAAAATTTAACGTAATGCTTGATGAATTAGAATTATTGGTTGAAAAAGAATTAGCAAAGTTGAATTCTCTTAATGGAAAAGATAAGACTTCTTAAATTGTTCAACAACCATTGAAATAGAACAAGGATACTCACAATCTCATTATCTAAATTGATAAGCCAAAAGAAGTCAAACAATTATTAACTGAGTAATGTTCATTTAGACCTATGCTATCCAGAAAATCTCTAAGAATTGCTGAAAAATTAGGTGATGCTAAAGAAAGATTAACAAAACCTAGATCAGTCACACCTGAAATTAAAGAATAATCTTAATCATAAACAAGAAAAAGAACAATATCTGGTGTTGCTCCAAGATGGGAATAGTTATATACATTAGATCAATTTTATAAATCAAAGAAAGAAGCATTGAAATTACAAATAGAAATGGAAAGATCAAAAGAAAATGAAACAACATTTTAACCTGATCTTTCAAAGAGTTAAACTAAATATTGTGATTTTACTATGCCTTTTGAATAAAGAAATAGATATTGGGAAACTAAAAAATAAGAAAAACTTATTTAATATTCAAAAGATGTCCAAAATGAAAGTCAAACGTTATGCACCTTTAAACCTTAATTAAATAAAAAAATACCACAAAAAAGTGTAAAAGTATCAGAATTCAATAAAAAAGGACTCATAACATACTTTGAAAGAGTCTAATAAGCAAATAAAAAGAAAGAAGAACCAAAGAAATCTTCAAAATGGAAACCTGGAGTAACTATACCATAAGAATTTAAATTAAGTCATACAAATAGATAAATATGATTTCAATCATATTAATTACATTAAACTAATTATATATATATATTCAATCATATCTATCTATGACATATATTTATAAGTAAAAATATTGAAATTTATTAATAAAAATTTGGCTGTTAGTCTTATGCAATAATTTTAAGTATCAAAAACAAGACATATTGATATCAAATATTAATAATAACAATTAGCAAGTCCTAGTTAATAATAATAATAATATTAAGTACGATCACCATTTCATAATATTGAAAACAAAGGTTTTATCCAAAATATATCCTCAGACTAAGAAATTAACAATAAACCTATTTAGACTATAAAATAATTAACATAAACACCAAATGCTTCTGAATATAAAATTTAATTTAAAGTAGGTGGAGTAAAGTAATAGTAATAATAAGTTGAAACAAATACTATGATTTCTTAAATAATACCTTTTGTTCCTATGAGTCCATAATAACGTCGTGAAAATGTTTAGATCTTCTAATCTCCATAAAATTAAATATGTTATCAATAGTAATAATTGTAATTTTAATCTCCTAATAGAGAGTATAACCAAACAAACTAATTTTATTCTCAAACATTTATTTAATTATCTATATCTTAACCTTATTAAAATAATTAGAATTCTTTAAAACTAATAAACTTCACCAATACTTTCAATCTCCAAGAAGAATTAAAAGCATTATAATTGTAAAATACAACCATAACTTAAGAAATCTAAAAATTAGAATCTTAAGCTTTTAGAGGCCAATCCACTCATTTTATTAAAGAACTTGAAGATAAGATAACTATGTTGTCATAAATGAATAAGAAACTATAAATAGATAATCGTGAATTAATAAATGTCTAAGATGTATAAGTTTTGAGAGATCTCATTTTAAAATATTAAAATGATAGAAAAATGGCTTATAATTAATTAGTTGCAGTAAAGAATGAAATTTAGAATTATAGAATAAAGTAAGAAGAGTTAAAGGAAAAGCTAAAAAATGAAGAGTCTACATAGTTAAATAATTTAATTTAGGAATTTGAGAATAAGGTATAAACATTAATTTTAGAGAATGATAGAATAAATTTATAATTAAAAAATGGTGAAAACATTTTGAGTTTAGTATTGAAATAGAAGAAGGAGAATGAATAATTAAAGCAAAAGTTAGTTAAATTAAAAAAAGATGAAGAAATTGCTTAAAAAAAATATTCTAAGGCAGAAGTGAAAACTAATCTTTTAGAAGATTGCTTAGAAAAATTAGATTTGTTGTAAGATGAGAATAGGCGTCTACAATAAATGATTAAGGATTCTGAAATGACTTAGGTGGATTTAGATAGTTTATTAGAGAAGGTATGATAAAAAAGTAATTTTAGATATAAATAATTCGGTTGGATAATGAAAGAATGATGAGAGTATTATGTTTTAGATGATAATATATATATATATATATGAATTAAGATTTTAATTAATATTCTTTCAAAGGATCTAATTAATATTAATTATAAATGGAAATATATTTTGTGTTTATTGTAATTTGAGTAAATAAATGATGAAAATAATATATATATATTCTGATTTAGAATATTTAATTTGAAATGAGGTTGAATGAAAAGTTGATTAAATCTATAAATTATTATTTGTTAATTTTTATAATGGATGATGCTTACTCGCATTAAGCTTCAACTCCTCCGGATAGAGATCGTAAATCCAAATTGGAAACCATGAGAAACGAGAATATGAACTATGTTGAGTAATCTTAATTAGATAGTCTATAGCTCAAACGATGTGATAGTGGAATACTACAAAAATCAGTACCTAATGTTATTATGGCTATAGATAAGCAAGTGGATTGGATCGATATTTTTTGGAAATCGAATCTTGGTTGGAAGAAGATAAAACTCTTCACACTAATACACCCTTAGTACTTGAAGCAGATGATGGTATAGGAAAGAAAACTCTTTTAGTAAAATGGATGGAATATCATGCAAGGAATAAAAAAGGAGTAAGATTATAGTGTATAATAGCGATATCCTGATTTCATAATTCCACATTTTGCCACTTAATCAGGCAAAAATAGCAATTATTATTATGCCATCTATAGAATTCTAATTAAATTAAGAGAAGCACTCAATATAAAATAAAAAGTAGAATTACTAGAAGAGAAGTTAAGAAGATATTTTCAATATTGGTTAGAAATTTGTAGTAGATAATTGGAATAGTAAATAATAAATGGAGCTAAAATCATATATGATAAAGTAAATATTTTATTAATAGTATAGGTAATATTAGTATTTGAAGGAATAGATAATTTTAGAGAGATATTAGATATGCATAGAGAAGCCAATGTAAATTTTTGGTTACCAAAATATTTCCCAACTAATATCAAAGTTATTGTAACTGCTGAAAGATAATCAGCTTCAATGAAATTGCTTAAACCTGATTGTTAAGTTATACCTATAGTATCTGATAAAACAGTTATGAAATAAACAGTCAATCATCATTTAGGAAAACATCTACTTATTTAAGTAGTTATATATTAATTTATAAGAATCCTTAAAATATATTGGATATATTTATTCAATTAAGTTATAAAGTGAGAAATCAACCAGTTTTTGTTAGATCCTACTTTTCTGTTTTTATTCCATATCCTTCAGAAGGAGTTGTAGAAGAATATGAAATTGATTAAAGTATTGTTGAATAAATATTGCAACCACTTAATTTGAATCATTTCAAATCTATGAAAGTAGTTGAAGATTTATTTGCATTTCAATTAGATTACTTTTCAAAAGCTAATATAATGGAAATTACTAAATTTAGAAAAGTTCTATTAGTCTTAGCTTTAACATAAAAAGGATTGAATTATCAAGAAATTGAAAGTGTTTGTAATATTACAAATAAGGAATGGAAATTATTTTTAGTTTTCTTTAAAGTATATATAATGAAACATAAAGAATTATGGATAATTCATAATGAAATTTTTAAAAAAGTAATCATAAATACATATTATATTGATGTTAAAGAAATGTTAGAATTGCATGATAATATAGCTACAACTATTGATAAGATTACTCCTAATTCTATAAGAAAATTAGAAGAATAAACATTCTAATTATATAGTGCTAAAAACTATTTCTCATTAAAAGAAGTAATAAGTATCATTGAAAATTTTCTACTTCTTTTTAATCCTTCAAATAAATATGATTTATGTAGATATTGGTAATCTCTTGAAGAGAATGGTTTTGATCCTGTTTTGGAATACAACAAAGCAGTAGAAGGTTTCTAGATTCATTATCATCCTTCATCTGAAGATATGTTTAGAATAATATTATAAATATCAAGATTTCTTAAAGAATTTGGTGATTTTGAAACTAGAAACACACCTATTTTTAGACATCCTCCAATCATAGGTGTATTAAGTGATTTATATGATATTGGATTGTTATATGAAATACTCAAATTAGATCTATATTATGATAAAGCACCTGAATTAAAGGAATTCGATCCAGCTAAACATTTAAAACGTGTTGCTAAACCAAAAACTGCTCCTGTATTATCTAAAATGGAATCACTTAATGTAGAGATACAATAAAATAGATAATTAATCAGAACACATTATCTTTCATTATTATCTAAACCTATTGAATAAACAGAAAATGAAGAAGAACCATCTGAAAATGTGGATTAATTGGCTGAAGAACTTAATCATAAATTAAAAAAAGTTATATAATAAAAGGAAGAGAATTTATCTTAAGATTAATTATAATCAAATGAAAGAGAATCTACAGATTATTATTATAAAAGATGGATTTGGATATAATTTCCTTGGGCTTGTATGAGTATTGATAAGAATTGTGATTACTCTACTGTTATTAAATAATGTTTTTCTTCTGCAACAGATTATATGAGTGTTGAAGATGAGAATGCATTTACAGAATCAGCACTTAAAATTGCATTTGAAGCCAAAAGAAAAAGGAAAGAGATGTATGAATAAAATTAGGAATAAGAAACTAGATTATAACTTATTCCTTAAATTCCTGTGTTATAATAAAAGGGATAAGAGGAGATCTTGAAAAAATAAAAAAGAGAATAGATGGAGTTTAGCACTATTTCAAGTTAAAGATTTAATAGATCATCTGCTGTTATATTACCTTAATTATCTAATAGGAGTGCTGTGATGACATAGGAAGATGTATCATAAGATAATTAAAAAAGTCATTTGATGTTTATTACTTAAGATTTTACAGATTCAAATTATCTTAATGAAGAATCAAAAAAAATTAAATTAGTTTAATCTGTTGTACCTAATGATGGATAATAAACATTACATTTACTTGATTAACTAAAGAAATAAAAGAATAAGATGAGATAATTTGCTTCAAATTCTGTTTCTCATGAGTCTTATAAGATTACTGAAATATTTCCTATTGTTAAGGGAAACATTTAATAACATTCAGCATCTCAATAAAATTTACTTTAAAATCAAGCAAGAATGATGAGATAAAAATTGGATTAAATAATTTATGATAATTTATAATTGGCTCAAACATATAAAATGTTAAAGATAATGGATTTTAATAAAGGTTATTTAAAAAAAGAAATTAATAATTTAGAAGGAATGAAATTATAATTAAAAGATCTTAAATAATAAATAGAGAGAGCAGAAAAAGAATTAAAGAAATCATGTAAGACAAAAATAAGAGTTAAAAAGATATTAAAAATATGTAGAGATAATAAATAATAAAATGAAGAGTATATTAGATATTTAAATTATTTAACAAGAAATTTTGCTAAATTAATTAAATTTGAAGAATTAGAAATTAAAAAAAATTAAGATAATATTTAATTAGCAAAAAGATAATTTGATGAATTTTTAATAGTATATCGTTAAAAGAGATAACATTAAATGACATTATTACTTTAAATTAGAAATAGTTTAAAAGAAAAATAACATTTAGATAGAATATTTTAAATAAGTGATTTGTAAATTGCTGAAAAAGCTAATGCATCAGTTTAAAAATTGAGAAAAAGATTAAACAAAAAAGATGATGATACAAAGAATAAAAAAAATAAAGAATCTTAAGAAAAAGAAATCAAATTATAAAAATAAAAATTAATGAATTTAGAACAATAATATTAAAAGATTAAAGGAGTATTTGATATTAAAAATAATGATTATAATATTAAAAAGGAATTTATAGATTTTATGGCATAAAAGGAAAGAAAAAGTGAATATGAAATCAAATTATCAGAATGTAGATAAAAATTAAGTGAAGTTTTGGATTTAAATACAAAATTGAATGAATAAGCTAAAACATATGAGAATGCTTACTCATCTCTTAATATTAATTAATAAGAAATTAAAAAAGATGGTATATTATATATATTATATCAATAGAGTAAACTTAAGAGAAAAAGGAAGTTACCAATATTTAGATACAAGAGTTATAACTTAAGAAACTTATGGTTTTATAGGCTAGATTAACTAGTTCATTAGAATTAATTGGAAAGAAGTGTGGAATTTAAGATGAAGATGAAGTAATTTAAATTTATATTATTAAAAGATTTCTAAAATTTTAGATTAAAGAAAATAACTCATTATAAAAAATGAAGGATAGACAGATTATTAAAAGATATTATAATAATAATATGAAATTGAATCCCTGTTAAAATAATAGGCACCATTTTATTTTCCAAAAAGATATCTTAATAATAATAATAATAGTAGTAATATCAGTGAAAATTGAAAGAAAAATAATTTAATTATAAAAAATATTATTAAAAAAATAATTATTTAATATTCCCATTTTTATTAAATTTGAGTGGCGATAATATATTATTAGTTTCTTAATTGAAATTAAATTTTATAATTTAGGCGATCGATTATAATATATTAGTGAATTAGATTTATAATTGTTTTTAATTATTATTTTAAATACGTGTATCTTATAATAGTTATATTTTATTAAAATAGATTGATATTGTTTTCAATTTTAAGTAAAGTGTATTATAAATTTAAGATGTATTTTCATTAAAAAATATTTGGTTTAAAATTAAATTTATACATAAAGTATTTTTGGCAATTTTAATTATAAATTAAATAAAAGGCATTTTATCAGTTCAAAACTAATATTTATCAAAAGGAGATAATAAAATGATTGTAAAAATTATAAAATCATTTTAAAAGCTTATTTGAAACAAATTACATTGTTTAATAAGTGATCAGTGAAGTAATTTATCATAAAAATAGATATTCTAGAAAGTTTTTTTAAGTAACTTATAATTTATATTCATATGATAAGATATTATTATCAAAGCATTTCTAAGAATTTTTTGTTTAAGTTTTTGCTAGAACTTCTCTCTGACATTTATTTTAATGGACTCTGAAGCAATGTGCCAGATCTCATATCGATTATAATTGTATCTGATATTAATGTAGATTTCTAAAAATATTGAAATACATCAATTACAAAATCCTTTGTTTCCTTCAAATCACAAGTAATCATTAATTTATTTGGTAATTTAGAATCAATTTAAGTAATGGAAGGCATTTGTATAGGAAATTCATCTATGAAATCCATTTAATCAATATCTCCCATTATTGAGATTTTCATAGGTTCCAAAATTTGAGCTCTTTTAGTAAGGACAACAGATGGCTCTTTAATTGGATGTCTAAGCTCGTTTCCTTTGAGAATAATAGTAGGTCTATCCTAACAACAGCCCATAATTTTAAGACAGCGTTGAGAAATTGATTTTAAATTAATAAAATCAATAATAAGAGAGTTTATAGCTATGATATATATACTAATATAACTACAAAATATATGAGAATTTGCTTCACAGCATTTTAATGAATTTATTGTTTAAGTTTTTATTTGACATTAATTTTTTAGAAGGACTCTAAGCTTGTCGTAAATCGATAATAACTTCATCTTTTAAATTGAGAATGTTAGATTTAGTGAATTTATTGGATCTGAGATTCTCCAGTAAGGTATTTTATTCACGAGTGTTATCAAAGCAATAGATCTGTTCAATAATTTCATCAGTATCTCCCTTAATTAGATTGCTAGATACAGGAGCCATACTTAAAGATTTTGGAGAGATTTAGAAGCCTTTATGTTCTAAATGTAAGTCATCTGAAGATCTTAGTGAATTTTTGCAACAACCCATTAAATAAATTAATTTAAGATAAATTCAAAGTTATTACACTATTTTTATCCTTATTTTCACCAATTCTTCCAATTTAATGAAGACTATATATATGAATTTAATAAAAAGTACCTCTCTTATATACAATTTATTAAAGTCATCTTATTTCAATTTCTTTATAGCTTTTTCTCTTTATTCTATTTTATCATATTGTACTATAACTTGTTTTGATTCAGGTACAACATTAGCTTGTCTGTGTAAATATTTATCAAAATCAAATTTTAACCTTTTCAAAGTAGCTTAAACAATCAGATGGGAAACTAGAATGATATTATATATAATTTAAGTACTGTATTTTTCATTATTGTCTAAACATATAAAACATTCCTAAAACACTTTTTAATTTTTCAATTTCAAACTATTAAAACTCTTCTAATTATTGCCATGAAGTTCAATATAACATTCTTAATGGTAACTATGTCCACATTAAAATGCAACAGCTTTTGTACATTTAGTGATTCGATCATTGCATTCTCCACAAAATCTATCAACACAAACTCCTTAATTCATTTATTGAAAGAGTTTTTAGTTTAAAGTTTTGTAAGTAATATCAGTTTGTTGCATAGCAATATTGTAGGAAGGTAATTCAAAAGCAAATTTTTCTTATATAGATTTGTTGGTCTTGAGAAAAACTCTTAATGGAATAGAACCATAATGTTAATTCATTTTCTAATGATATTATAAAAATTTTACATTCAAGAGCCTATCTAATTCAATACATTTAGACATGGCTAAGAATACTTCAGATACAATGTCTCCATGTAATTTTCTTAAGGATTCAGGAACTTTAAGATCAGTTAATTATTCTAGTTTATGTTATTTAAAAAATGAATCTAAAAATTAAAACCAATATCCATCATCTTCAATTTTTGAACAGAGTTCAATGATATAATTCAATTTCTCAAAAATCTCTTCTTAATCAATTTCTGATATTGTTTTTGATCTGGCAAATGATTTATGACAATCTTTCAATCTATTGATAAAGAGTAATGTCAACATATCTAGAGCTTTCTATATTGCTCCATTCTTTTGAAGTAAATAAGCAGCAGCATTATATACTTTATATTTCTCACAGATAACCATAGCATCATCTAAAGGGAAGTCTCCATTTTAAACATTCTTCAAAACTTCTTTAGGGGATCTTTAACATAAGAGTTCTAGATAGAGTAATCTGATAGAATCAGAAGCCTTTTCATTTTTTATGTATTATTTAAGGTAATGTAATTAATTTTCAGGTGTTTTTTCTAATTTTTGAATGATTTACATTTATAATTTTTGATCATGGAAATATTCTTTGAAAATTCTATTTGTATATTATTAACTTATGTTCATTAATGTATCACAATTTTCAATTATAAATTCTTATAATTACATTAGTAATTATGAATTAGAATAAATTAAAAGTCTTTCAATTACTTCAAAAACATTTCTCTTCATCATACTATTTTACATTTAAAAGTAATTAGAAATGCAAGTAATATAATCATTTTGTTTATATATAAGAAAAGCATGGAATTCAGGATAAGGAATACTTCCATTAAAAACAAGGGAAATATCATTTATTTGACTAGTATCATACATGTGAATTAGATATGAATTTTTATTGACTTCATAAGATTCTAAGTAGATAGGATCAGTTTCTTAATTATTGAAATTATATTGTTTCAAGGTTTCAAAATAGGATGGAGATAGAAGATCTAGAAATAATTTCTCTTTAAACTATTTAGTAAATTACAATGGGAATTGAATTAATAATTCAGAGTAGAATAACAAGAAATAATTAAGTTATTCAACAAGGTTTATTTAATGATATTGTTATGTCTTTTCATTATAAATAAGTTGATAGTGTTCTTGAATTTTAATATCTTCCCTAGTATTTTCAATGGAACTAAGCATTAATTTCAATATTTCTGGAACATGATTAATAATTTCAAATTTAATTTCAGGTAGTGTAACTAATTTGATATTAGTATAAATGTGATGTTGCATGAATTACAAAAGTAATTAAAGTGATAGACGAATATCAATAAGTATGAATAGTTTAAGATTTTCTGTATTAAAAATGAATGAAACTAATCCTCTTAACATATCAAAATAAATATTATGTGGTACACGTTCTCCCAATATATTGATACCTTTTACACACATACGAACATATGCCAAAATATTATATCCTAGTTTAATTCTGAATTTTCTTAACTTTTCTTTTTCAATAAGACATTGTTCTTTCTATTCTGATTAATATTTATTTTCCCAAAGATCCATTAATTTCATTAATCCAGTAATGAAATCACCCTATTTTGTACATAAATATATCATAGCTTTATATAAATGATAATCCATACAAACCTTAATAAGAAGAGTTGGTTCTTATTGATGTAAATCTAATTGTAATATTAATTATTATATCATTTCTTTGTCATTTTAATAAAAATTAACATAATCTACAAAGAATGATTCAGGAATGACAGCAATTTATTTATTTTTTATAAAGGGATCTAAACAAGTGAAATATAATTTCATTTATTATATATCTTTAAAGAAATCTTTTAATACAACTAAAGCATAAGTCATATTATCTACTCTTAATAGAAATTCAATAGTTTTTTTTATTTTATTTTCTTTTTCTAATTAAGATAATGGAATATCTAATGGTTTAAGTGCAAACATAATATGAGTAAAAGCAATCTTCTAAAACATTTAACTCATTTATTCTTAACGTGCTGATAGAGATGATGCAATTTCACTAAGTATTTTAATTTATCCTTGATAGATAAGCATACCTTAATGCATAGCTTTTTCCCATTAATTCTTCTCAATTAAATCTTCTAAATATTCATTCCAAGTTTATAATCTTTCTATTAAAATATTATTATTCCTTAATGATACAATTCCATTTTCATATATTTAAACTTAACAAGGTATACTTGGCCCTTCATATGACACACTAATTTCAGCTATCTATGGCTCTATCTCTTCTTTAGATAACATTCTAGTTTTTGATTCCAATATCACTATTCCATCATCTTATTTGGCAAATTAAAATTAAGTTGTATGAATCAAAGCAACCCAATTTGAATCTGAAAATGCATAAATGATATTATTTGTTAAAAATGAACTCTTTATTATATTACCTTTCTCTTTTTCCATCTTATAAACAGCACTTAATAAATAATTTAATTATATATTACCCTTCAACAATTTCAAGTTCATCTTCTATATTCATGCATTTCACTAAATGAAATATATCACCCCATCTTATACATAATAATTTAGCATTTTAATAAGATTTTTCAAAGTATCCTTCACCCCATGATAATTCTCCACTTTCTGTATTATCTTATTATGGAAGATCAATTGAAAAAGTGTTTCTTTTAAGAGTATATACTATTTCACATTTTAATGAACCTAAATTAATATATATTATAATACCTTTATAAAATTTAAGTATTTCAACACGATTAGAATATAATACAGCAACAATTACTACTTATTATATATTTTAATTGAGTTATTAAGTCATAATTTCAGGCATTAATTTAATATCCAAAGCAAACTTAGTCAATTATCCATCTGTATCACTTGAATGTTTAACAGATGGATCTATATATTCATTGACTTCTTCTTCTTTTTTAAATATACTTTTTGCATTATCCCACCAAGAAGATTACTTTTATTTTGGTTATTAAGTGCTTCTTTTAATATGATAGATTTTGCCATTCTTATATATTTTATCTTTTGAATGACTAACAATATATTTATCCATGACTGTCATTACTGTAAATGCATGTTTATAAATTACTCCATTTTCATCTAAAGAGAGTGCTTCAATAGTAGAAGATGGTATGAATAACACTTACATTACTTTACCAGAATGTAATCTGGATTCATGATGTAAACGTTCCCATTTCCTACCTACTTCATATAATTAAATGTCTCCTCTTTCAAAACCAACTAACATATATTTCTCCCAACATTAAATTGCTAATACAGATCCATATCTTCCTTATCGTTCACCTGCATTAAGTATAGCTTAAATTGATTCTACTCTACCATTTACAACTTCAATGCATATAATCACTGATTATTGAGTGCCAATCATTAGATATCTCTTTTGACGATGCATATAAAAGCAAAGTTAAGTTGGTTGTCCATAACTACTATATATTTCATTTGCTTATTATGAAAATCCATAAATAGGATTAACTTAGAAGCAATCTGGTTATTGTTGCACTTTTTCCTAAAAGAAAGTATTTCTGTCTCTGGACTCTAAAGAGAACTTTTTTAATACTAAATATATCTAATTACCTTAAGAGATTGATAGATAGGTTCAAGTTGGTCGAGAATATTGAATTATGTAAATTGGTGATATCTACTCCGCAAAACCTCTTAATTTAGATAATACATAAAATTATTATTCTAAAAATCATTTAAAACTAATCTATATTATGGTTATCCTATAATACAGATCATTATTTAACATGTAATGTATGTAATTCAACATTAACATGCTGAATCATTCAACATGTTAATGTATAATTCAGAATTGTTTAAGTATGAATTAAATTAACTATTGAACTATTGAATCTATTATTGAAATAAAGATCTATATATTTTTAATTGATTGGCTAATTTAGAAATAGATAAATAACTTGTTGAATTCTTAATAAAGGTTATTTGAGTTGAATAAGAAATTTTATTTATATAAAGATCTAAAATATAAAAGAATTCATTAATAAAGAATTATGTTTATAATATGGAAATTTTATTACTCTAGATTTAAAGTTTAGAATGATTAAATTGATTTTACTTATGTTATATTCAATGAAATCATTCTTCAAAATTTTTATAATTAATATATCACTTTTTTAAATTAATAGCTTTAATCAAAGTACTTGATCTCTTAAGAGGAGATCGTTGGGAGTTTTTACGTTACACTTTACGGGCAGATGCTTTCATTCTCTCTTAAGGGGCTTACTTACTCTTATAAAATAAGTCAGGGTGTAGTAAGGAGAGTTGTCTAACTAATTTAAGGCTATCTTCAAGTGGTCTATTCAATTGGTTACGTAACTCAATAAATTATTTGATCTTGATTATAATTTTAATAATAATACAATACCACATTCATATCTAAATCTTCAGATAAAATTTCTTATTTATATAACCATCCAGCCCATTATTTGTTTTCCATCATTAGGAAATGTTAAGCTAACAACAATAATAATTCTAAAAGAGTCATTTATTATTTTTAACTATTAGTAATTTTTTCATTAAATTCTTCTGAAAATAATAATTAAAAATATGGAGATGCTTCCTTTATAGTAAAATAATCATTTAATTAATAATCATGTTATTCTTACAATTCTTTATAATATTTAAGTAATTTCTTTAGAGATATAGAACTTAATTAAGTTTGTTCTCGAATCCCAAATATAATGGCATATAATTAATTAATAGGTTAATCAAGATCACATTCACTAAAATAAGTTAAAATAGCATTAAGTTTATCATCATCTCCAACCCAATCAATAAATATTCTACAAACATGAGACAAGAAATCTCCAATTTGAGTTAAGTAATCTAAGAAATTACACAATAACATTGGATAATCCATTTCTAATTCTTTATTAATTTCAAATAGAATTTAAAAAGGATGAACTTACATAAAAATACCAATTGAATTCAAATAATATAATTAGTAATTCTCCTCTTATATTTTATGACATCCTAATTTAATTTATGCTTCTTAATGTTTCATTGGAAGAGGTTAATTCTATTTCTATTATTTAATTAATGCATTTCCCAATTCTTTGATATCTTTTTGAAATACAAATGAATGTTAAGAGGTAACCTTATCAAATTATTTGAACATACTTTCTAATTCTAAAGCCTTCAATCCAACTGAATTCATTCTTTCTTCAGCAATTCTAAGATCACTCATTTATTGAACTGTTACAACATAATCTTGAAATTCTTATTAAACTGATAATAATTATTATTATAAGTATTCATGTTTACGAATATATTGAGCTTCCATCATTTTAAATTCTTTATCCATCTAAATCATTTAATCTTCTACTTTAATTTTCTAAGCCACAGCTTATTAGAATTATTCTTTAAATTCTTTTACTTGAGTTTCAATATAATCAGCACAACTTTTACCCATCCATTATAATTAAATATCAATCAAAACAATCCAAAATTTGCAAAAACCTTCCAAAAATATACCTAATCTAGTATCATGTCTTAAGGCTTCTCTAATACTTTAAATTATAGTTTCTGATACTAAATTTACAGCATTCTAAACAAAATGCATTTTGAAATTAAGTACAGGTCTAGTTTATTAATGTAATGGTTCAATAATTTATTTATCCAATTATTAAAGAGTATTGAATAATGTAAATATAAATTTGTCATCTAACATTGTTTTATTTTCACACATCTTAGCTTTTTAAACTTCATACATATTAGAGTATAACATCATTTTAATTGATTTTGGCAATTCACTCAAATTTTATATCAATAATTCATGTTCTCTATTAAGAAAACTATATTATTCATATTAAGAACATATTGGCATATTTTCTATTTCAGATGGTATTCTTTGATGATGTTCTGTTTTACCATCTCCTATTAAACTTGCCCATCTAGTTTTACGTTCCTCTTTCTTTAATGATGGATATCGTGTTCCTGTATGTGATCCTTTAGCTCTCAATCTCATAATCTATGAAATTGTTGCTTTCTAATAAAACATATTAGTTGTTTGGGTTGGCCAATCATTACGAGCTGTATTGGATTATTTTTTGAATGTATCTTTAATAGCTTGACAAAATTCAGCATCATTAAACATATCATCTATGACTCCCAATGAAATTCTAGTTTACTTGTTATCATTTGTTTTTCGATTACTCATTAATTATAATAAATGTAAGTTGCATTTAGTGTTATTTGTGTTGGATTAGATAATGCAGGTAAAACTAGTCTATTACGTACACTTTCTAATAGTTAAAGAATGGAAATATTCCCAACACCTACTATGGAGATTCATTATGTGATTTGTCCAAAAATAGGAAAATATTGTTTAGTTTATGATATGTCTGGTAATGGTCGTCATAGATCAAATTGGAGAATTCTTTATTAAGATATATAAGCAATGATATATGTAATTGATACAAGTGATACAGAATATAGGTATTATTATTCAAATTTATATGATTAGATTTCATTTATAAAGACATCTAATTGAAGAAGTACTTAATGATGATTTAATTAAAAAAAGTGCAATACCAATATTATTCTTATTCAATAAGAATGATAAAAAAAATAGATTCAATAAAGATGATCTAATAAAAGTATTAGGTTTAGATTCAAAGAAATTCAAAAATAAATTTATTTTTAAAGAAACATCAAGTTTTGAAATTTCAAAATTAAAAGAAGCAATTGATAATTTAACTGATGCTCTTTTTAGTAAAAAATAATGATATTATTATTATATTTACTTATCATTTATTCATTTCATGACTTGCTTCACCTAAACAACTTACTTATCTAATTATCCAAATAGATGCTATAGCTACACATATACATGCACATACAACTTTAAATATATACAAGTAATCATTAATTTAAATTTATTTACTTTATTTTTCAAATGTAGTCAATTTAGCAAATCCAATTTATTTATTATCAATATCAAATATTGTTATATGTTTTCTAATAAATGTATCACCTAAAATCCAATAATTATTTGAACTCTTTGTAAATGATAATACACATACAGATACATCTATATCTATATAATCATTAGGATTTAATTATAATCTCAAATCACCTTCAAAATTAAATTCAAATTAAGGAAAATGTGAAATATCTCCATCAGGACATGAACATTTTATTTAGTATTAAGAATATTGACAAAATTATTTATAATCATCTCTTAAAATAGATAATAATGATGTAAATTAATGAGTTGGTACAACTATCAATGAAGTACCAGTATCAATTAATGCTGATACATCATTAATTAATACTTTCTTATTCATTTATATATTGTTTAATTTTATTGACCATGAATCACTTTTATCTAATTTAACATATTATATATCTGAACTCATATAGTGAGTATCATATCCACCTATAAATAAAGCACTTGCATTATTAATATGTTCAGGTATTGAATTTAAAAAGAATGCAAATATCCTTTTCTCTATCAAATGTTAATCATACAAAATATTTATTAAAGAATTAAATCCATAATATTCTTGTAAACCCAATCCACAAATACCATCTGCTCTCAAATTATCTAAATTAGATTATGAATTCACAATCAAAAATTGAAAATTTTATACTGTAAAATTGGATATTTACAATTAATCAAAAGCTTTGTTCCCTCCTATTTCCCCTTAACCATATTAAACTTTAAATTATTCCTTTGTCATCAAACAATTAGAACTTGATTAACAATCAAAAGATGATTTTTTTGATTGTGAAGGACATGTATTTGAAAATACCTTAATTTATGTATAAAATTTACCCAAAAAATAGAAGAACCTGTATCAAATAATAATTCAAGATTCTATTCACCTATTTTAATAATTCCTGTATATTGCATATTCTTGAAATTATTGATCATTAGATCATTTCTTAGATGTCTATTATAATGAGGTTATGTTGATTTAAGTAAATCAATCTTAACATAGGCACTAATTAGTTAAAATAATAAATATAAAATCATTAATTATGGAAGCATAACACTATAAATTGAGTCAAACAATTGCTGCACACAATGGTATAGTTAGATCAATCTCAACTTAAGGAGATTAATTATTAACATGTAATGACATATTCAATCATTTTAATAGGTTCAAGTGATAAGACTGCAAAGTTGTATGAAATCAATAATAATTAATATCATTAAGTGACTTTGATATCATTCTTTGAGAAATACATATATGCTACATGTGCAAGAATAAATGGTGGATATGCAGTTGGACATGATAAACAAATCTATTTGTTAGACAATGAAGGGAATCCACTAGGTATTTTAGATGGACATGATTAATAAGTGTGTTCTTTAAAAAGCATATCAGAAAATGTATATTCAATCATTATAAAATTAAGTTACTTATTTCAGGATCATGGGATGCAACTGCAATTATATGGGATATTAGTTAAATGAAATAACTCTATAGATTGAATGGACATAAATATGGTGTGGCAGTATATGGAGATGAAAATTTAAATTTTATTACTGGATCCTAAGATGGTATTCTACATTCTTGGTCAAAGGAAACTAAAATTAAGAGTGTAGAAGCTCATAAAGATATCATTAGAGAAATATTAACATCTCCTTTGGGTGGTTATATAACTTGTTCTAATGATGAAACCATTAAACTTTGGTCAAAAGATTTAGAATTGATTTAAACCTTTTTAGGACACAAGAGCTTTGTATTTACTATGAAAATTCACATGGATCAAGTTATTAGTGGAGGAGATGATAGATTAGTAATAATCTGGAATTTAGATGGTACTCCAAAATAAACCATTTAATTGCCAGATACTGTATGGACTGTAGCTATAAATAATTAAAATGATATAATAATTGGAACAAGTGATGGAAAAGTTAGAGTTTTTACTTCTGATCCAACTAGATTTGCTTCTTAGGCTGAAATAGAAGCATTAGAATAAGAAGCCTCTTTATCAAATGCCAAATAAGAAGGAGGAATGTCTGAAGAAGAAGTTTAGAAATTGCCAGGAATTGATAAACTAAAAACTATGGTAGGAAAGAAAGAAGGTGAAATTAGATTATTTAGAAATGGAAATAAACCTGAAGCATATATGTGGAGTGCTGCTTCAAGTAATTGGTAATTGATTGGAGATGTGATTGGTGGTAAAGGGGCAAGCTCAAGGAAATTCTTTCCTGGAGATAAATACTTTGAAGCTGGAGAATATGATCATGTATTTGATGTTGAAGATGATCATGGAATTACAAAACTCTTACCATATAATGAAGGGGAAAGTTTCTATGATTCTGCAGAGAAGTTTTGTTTAAGAGAAGGTTATTCTAAACATTACCTTTAATAAATAGTCAATTTCTTAAAAAAGAATACATCTTTTGGGTAATCTTAAAGATAAAAGAAATCAGAATTAGAAACTATGAAAGAATAATATGCTTAATAATAAATAATACAATAATAATAGGCTAAAAAATAGATTGACTTTTAATATATTCCTTATACATAATGCACATATTATGAAAATATGAATTTATAAGGTTTAAGTAAAAAACTATTTGAATTCAATGCTCAAGTATCTGAAGAACTTAAATTAACAGAAAAGGAAACTCTATTTTTTAATAAAGGCATTGAAAGTTTAGGATAATAATCAGTTTAAAAAACTGTCAATATTGAGAATTCAGTTTGCATTATTTTCGTCTAGAAACTAATAAAATGGGATCCTCAATATTTATTACCAGTTTATGATTTCTTTAGATTATTTTGTCTTCATCATAGTAGTGAATAAATATTTGCTGGTTTAGAAAAGGGTATGAATTTATTTTTAAATATTTTCACCATTGTAAATTTATAACCTGTTAATACTGTTCTTGTAAGATTGGCCTTATAAACATTATGTAATTGTTTAAAACATAATACTAACTCTTGTGCTATCTTATACCATTTAAGAATAGTTAAAGACATTATTTTGAGTCTTTTAGATACTGATGAAAAAGTATAATATTTTATATCATCTAGAATGTACAAGTACTTAGTAATCTCATTCTGAATTTATCTATTGGAATATATTAGAGGAATGGATTAAATGATTAAGCTAGTGAAATGTTATCTGAAACTATTGTTACTTTTCTATAATATACACAAAGAGATCCAGAAACAATTGCTAAATTAGTAACTGCCCTTGGTAATTTAATGAGATCTCCTGCTTAACAAATTAGAGAATAATGTAAGAAAATAAGTTATGGTTTTATTTAATCATTGGTTATAGATACAAATAATGAAGACACACTTAAATGTTTGGAAGAAGTTAAATTGAGTATGTAAATTTGATGATTATTAATATCGAAATAATATAAAAATTTATAGATTATGCATATATATATATAAATATAAAATTAATTCATTTACAAAAATAAATAAAAATATCTTTTATATGCACNAAGGGGCAAGCTCAAGGAAATTCTTTCCTGGAGATAAATACTTTGAAGCTGGAGAATATGATCATGTATTTGATGTTGAAGATGATCATGGAATTACAAAACTCTTACCATATAATGAAGGGGAAAGTTTCTATGATTCTGCAGAGAAGTTTTGTTTAAGAGAAGGTTATTCTAAACATTACCTTTAATAAATAGTCAATTTCTTAAAAAAGAATACATCTTTTGGGTAATCTTAAAGATAAAAGAAATCAGAATTAGAAACTATGAAAGAATAATATGCTTAATAATAAATAATACAATAATAATAGGCTAAAAAATAGATTGACTTTTAATATATTCCTTATACATAATGCACATATTATGAAAATATGAATTTATAAGGTTTAAGTAAAAAACTATTTGAATTCAATGCTCAAGTATCTGAAGAACTTAAATTAACAGAAAAGGAAACTCTATTTTTTAATAAAGGCATTGAAAGTTTAGGATAATAATCAGTTTAAAAAACTGTCAATATTGAGAATTCAGTTTGCATTATTTTCGTCTAGAAACTAATAAAATGGGATCCTCAATATTTATTACCAGTTTATGATTTCTTTAGATTATTTTGTCTTCATCATAGTAGTGAATAAATATTTGCTGGTTTAGAAAAGGGTATGAATTTATTTTTAAATATTTTCACCATTGTAAATTTATAACCTGTTAATACTGTTCTTGTAAGATTGGCCTTATAAACATTATGTAATTGTTTAAAACATAATACTAACTCTTGTGCTATCTTATACCATTTAAGAATAGTTAAAGACATTATTTTGAGTCTTTTAGATACTGATGAAAAAGTATAATATTTTATATCATCTAGAATGTACAAGTACTTAGTAATCTCATTCTGAATTTATCTATTGGAATATATTAGAGGAATGGATTAAATGATTAAGCTAGTGAAATGTTATCTGAAACTATTGTTACTTTTCTATAATATACACAAAGAGATCCAGAAACAATTGCTAAATTAGTAACTGCCCTTGGTAATTTAATGAGATCTCCTGCTTAACAAATTAGAGAATAATGTAAGAAAATAAGTTATGGTTTTATTTAATCATTGGTTATAGATACAAATAATGAAGACACACTTAAATGTTTGGAAGAAGTTAAATTGAGTATGTAAATTTGATGATTATTAATATCGAAATAATATAAAAATTTATAGATTATGCATATATATATATAAATATAAAATTAATTCATTTACAAAAATAAATAAAAATATCTTTTATATGCACTTTATATATGTGAAAATTAATTTTATAATATTTATTAAATTTTAATAAATATACTTAGTGCTAATCAAAATCTAAATTTATGGATAAAAAATTATAATTTTTCTAAATGATTGTCAAACAGAATATTATGATATTTGTACTTTAAAATAAATAGAAATTAGAATAATATTATATTTAATTAAGTTTAATAATAAATATTAATAAATGATTAAGATATTTTTTATAATAATTTACATAAAATCTATAATAACTTATCTTCCTAATTATTGTATTCAATATTATATCTATTATATAAATAATTTACATTTTTATTTATAATTAATTAAGATAATAATCAGTATTATTATGTTTTTCTGAAATATAAATTATTATTTGAAAAGAAAAAAAAGATTTTAATATTTTAACATATATATAATTAAGTTTCAATCTAGAATTTCATAAATATTATATTGTTTTGAAACCATATCCCAAAGAACAATATATTATCCATCTTTAGAGAGAGAACCATAAATAAACTCAGATTAACATTAAATAGGATCAGCCATTATTTTTAGATATCCATCTTATTATATTCGTAGAATGAACACATTTGAATTATATCTAATAACTATTATATTTTTTAGTTTATTATATATAATTGGAAATAGATTCCAATCTTACTTTTAATTATTTAAAATTAATTATTTTTCAGTTATTTCTTCAAACTGAAAATTTTAGCCTTCAAAGAAATGTAGTATTCCTTAATTCTATTATAACCATATAAATTATGTATCACTTAAGAATTTAATTTATCTACCAATATCACATATTGATTATTATAAAAATTGTTTAAACTTCCAAATATTTTACTATTTAATCCAAATGATTATTGATTAATCTTCACTACATGATACAAAACATGTTTCAGAATCATTCATACTTAAACTTAATAGTTTATTTTGATGTTTTTATAAAGTGTATTGATAAACTAAGTTATTTTGTTTAAAATCTAATTTCCAAATAATAATAGTTTTATCTAGACTACCAGTTATTAATTGATTCTCTTCATTATTCATAATCATACATCTTAGACCTAATTTATGTTATTAAAATGGTTATGATGATTTCCATTCATAATTATTCCCCATTTACCAACATACTATTGAACCATCATCATTTCCACAACCTGATATAAATGAATTTAAATAATTGCTATATAGTAGACATGTAACATCATCAATATGCTTTTATAAACTATTTCTCAATATTAATTACCCTTTATTAAATTCCCAAACTTTTATTTATTTACTACTTGTTGAAATCATGATTGAAGTATCCTTATTAAATTATATGGCATAACAATATTAATTTTATTTGATTTAAGATTTAATTTATTTAAGAGAAATGAAATTATAAAGATTTTATTCTTAAACAATTAATTTTTATAAATCTTTTAAATGATTTGTTAATAAATCTTGAACACAATTTGTAAGTTTACTTTTAAACTCTTCTCTCATTATAATAACTTAATCTTTTTGTGTTTTATTTAGTATTTCATTAAATTTATCCATACAACCTTGATTTATTAACAAATTCTAATTTTGAACAATCTAAAAATACTTTCCATATTGTTAGAATATATTATGATTTAATTCTATTTCTAAATTATGTATAGATTATGATAGTTTTTGTCTTAATCCAATTAATGATTATAATTGCTCTATTATTTCTAATTATATTCCTTTGTTTTATTCTTAAAAATGAACTATCATATCTTAAATATTAATGAATTCTTAATCACAAATACTATTTTATTACATTATTTCTCTTTTTTCAATTAGAGTTTTGCATCGATTTTCAACATATAATTATTAAATAGCATCTTCAATATTAACTTTTGATAATTAGAGTAGTATCTATTAACAAGAATTAAATTGTTGAAAACTAATAAATGGATTAATTAGAGAATTCAAATCAGGTAAATATTAAGCAGTGATACTTAAGAATTTATAATTTACATCATTTAAATCATTATCATTAATACTTTACTAGTTATTGAATGATTAATCAAATCTCTCAATAAATAACTTATTTTATTGTAATTATAAATCTTATAGCCATTAAAGTGCTTTTAAATTGATTTATTAACAAGCTTCTTAGATTTCAGATTGTAACAATTTAAACTTAATGATGAATGCATTTAAATGTGTAATACTTTGATAAATAAGTTAATTAGTATATTTTGAAGTATAATTTTAACTCTTATTAACTTAAGCAATGGCTACGGATATATCCATTAATTAAGATAATTGAGATTTATTTTAATGTTCTTTTAAACATTGATGACATAATAATCTTTATGTTGTAATGATATTAGAATCATTTATAATTTTTAAAGCTTGAAAGTTATGTTTACATAATAAACTATTTTCTAATTCCATTATAATATTTAATTAATAATTATAATGTTAATATTAGGTTTAGAATAATAATTAACAATATTCTATTAAAAATTTATTAAATATTACTTAAATGTCTTTAATATTACCTGAATAGGATATTGGAATTCCCTGTTAATTCAATCATTAAAATCCTCCTGAATTTATGGTTTTAAGTGGAAATAAAATAGCTATCTTTTATTGCAAAGAATGTTTAACTAAATAGACTCTACCCAATAATGCGATATCTATAAGTAAGGCTAAGTATGTTATGAAATAAAAAAAATTGAGTTCGTTTAAAATAGCTAGTCATTTATATGAAAATTAAATATAATAAATTGAAAAATTAGCAAAAGAACTTAACTAATTAAAAACATACCTATTTTAATAAATAGATTAATCAATATAGACAATTAATTTGTGGATTTAATAATTAGAATTAGAATAAAGTAATGAGAAGTTATTTGATTACAAAACATTAGTATAATTATTACATTAAAATAATGAAGAATGTGAATTATAAGAACTCATTAGACTTGAATAAAAGATTTTTGATTGTAATTATACTTTTCATAAAAAAATAACACTTCACTTAAAAGATTTCTCAAATTTAGATTAATTTTAGTAATGTCAACAAATTCTAAATTAATGTATAGATGTATCTGAATTAAATAAACATATTACTAAATAAAAAGAATTTGAATTTAATCTAACTAAAGTATATCAAAATTTTCCAAATACACGAATTCTATTAGGGAACTTTGATCAAATCGATTATAATATTTAAAATCATTTATAAAATTGGAGAAATTATCATTTAAATACTGAAGAAATAGCATACTTTTATTAAGATATGAGTAAAAATCACAATTTTCTTTCACTCTTATTTCCAAATTTTTTTAGTAGTTAATATTTTATACAAAGTGCTAGATTAAATCCATTAGAAAGAAATGAAATTATTAAAAATGAAAAAGTAATTCATATTAATATTTAATTTATAGATGAAAAAATAATTAATTGAAAATTGTTAAATGTATCTTTGTTATTAAGGAGTTTAATTGGCTGAAAATAAAATAATTATCTAAGATATTAAATAATTTAATAAATATAGAAATGATTAGAAAAATAAGTAAGGTTTATAAAGAGTTATATCTTCTTTGAGTGTTTTAAATCAACGTAAAAATGCATTATTGATTATTGCATTTACTAAAGAAAATGATTTCTATTATTAAGATACATTTATTAATTATGATTTATTATAAGAAGAAGGTAATAAGGATGAAAATGCATTAAAATTTTAAGATGTAAAATAATATTACTTACAATAAGATTTAATGGAAGAATAATGGGCAACATTTAAGATTTTAACAAATCAAAATTTAGATTTGTGATTATTATTCATTAATAATAATCATATATTAGTCATTTATTTTTATATTTAATTAATTTGTAATAAATTAATATTATTAAAATGCTGCAGTAATTTTTGAATATGGGATTCACTTAATAATAGATAATCAAAGCATAATAGATTTGCAAATAAAATCGAAATCTAGAAATTTTGGATGTGCTCTTAAAAAACATTTAAACTCCAATAAAAGAATAATCACAATCATAGATTTTGAGAGAATTATCATTTGATGTTTTGACTCCAGATTAACGATTGAGATAAAAGGGAACACCTGTAGGATTGAAAAATTTAGCTAATGGTTTTTGTGATATTTATGTTAGTTTGCTATTTAAATTCTTTGATATAGACTTATTTTCATAATCCAATTTTCGTGAAAGAGATATTGAGCTTTAAATATCCAGTTTAATTGAATTTTGAGGATCTATTAAATAAGAATGAAGCAAAAGCAAAGAGAATAAAGTCATCAATTGATTTAGTTGTACATTTGTAGAGGTTTGAAAAATAATAATTTTAGACTATTTGCTTATTTAGTTCATACAGATAGAAAGTATGTAGATCCATATAGAGTATTCTTAAATGTAGTTGATGAATTTGGTAATAGATTTTAATTGGGTGATTAAAAAGATTGGGCGGAGTTCAATTTATAATTTATAACATGTATTGATGAAGGATTAAAATATCATGAGAATAAAATAATGGATGCTGAAATGTATAATGAAAATGGTGAATAACATGAATCAGAATAATATCAAAATAAATCAGGAATTATTTAAACTAGATCTATGATATTATTGGATGAAAATAAAACTAAATTAATAGAATAATAACCATTACAATCATAACCTTAAAATTAAACTATAATTAATAGATTATTCTTTGGAAAAACTAAAGAATATATTACACATCCAAATTAAAGAAATTAAAGTGAAGAACAAGAATAAATATTTTTATAGATTATATTAAATGTTAAAAATAAGAGTTTATATTAAGCTTGGGAAGCAAATAATTCATTTTTAATAGAAGGATATCGTAATGGAAGTGAAGTAATTGAATTAGCTGAAAA